TTTGATCAAGTAGGGTGTGGCTTAGATTTCACAAAAAAAATATGACTAGTTCTACTCAATAAGTTGTAATTCGTTTTACCAACCATCCCACCATGAATTCAAGAGCTAGAGTAGAGAACATAATGTGTGGTGTGGGGCATCTGTACTAATTAACTTGCCTGCTTTTCACACTTTGAGTAATGATAGAAAAATCAGATTCTACAGGTCCCAAACCATGGCCTATAATTGGCAACCTCAACCTCGTTGGTCCTCTGCCTCATCAATCCGCTCACAAGCCCAAACTTATGGACCAATAATGCAGGTTAAGCTTGGCTCCTGCCCAGTTGTAGTTGCCTCATCTCCAGAAATGACAAAGCAATTTTTAAAGACGCATGATCACATCTTTGCCTCTAGGCCTCAAACTGCAGCAGGCAAGTACCTCAATTATGGCTACCTCAATGTCACTTATGCACCTACGACCCAACAATGGTATAAGAGTAACACTCTAAATTCCAACATGCGTAGTTAAGTATCCTTCATTGGCACTAGTATATCCCGGGTTTGTGTCATGCTACCAAGTCTTGGGTCCAAGGTCAAGAGGTGGAGTAATGGGTTTATGAACCTTCTTGGTAGGATAGTTATTCTACAAAAATGCACGTAATGGGATTATGGTGGGATTATCTTTTATCCCATATCCACATTCATTTTAATCACCAAACATTGTATTGGATTAAGCTAATCCAATCCTACTACTTATCGTGGGCACCAAACGAGGCCAAAGTCCAGCAATGGTTTGGGGGATTTCTTTTCATTGATTAAAGATGATGACTTAACTCAAGTAATTCCTGTCTCACTGAATCAAATAAAAAAGGGGTTAATAAATATCATAGCGCTCATACCTACTTCAACTATAAATTACCTGAGAATGTGATAAGGTCTTGTGTGGCTAAGATGTTACATGGGTTCAATCAGGGACTGAGATCTAAATAAATCTACTCTCCATTTGGATGAGGAAAATAACTCGGAATTTAGCTAAAAATCGGGAATTTAAGAGGAGAAATTGACAATTCCCTTGTTTGGCAACTTAAGCGTGGAATTTATTAAATGACGTGCGGAAAAAATCCTGAAAATTGAAGCATCAAACTCCCGAGTTTAATTTCCACCAAAATAGGTGTCATTTCACAATTTTCATGTGCGGGAATTCATATTTTCCAGTGTGCCAAAACTACATTAAAAAAACAGCGCCAAACTTTTCATTAAATAAAAAATAAAAAAAACAACGCCAAAGTTCATTTCACAATTATTGTTTATACAATGATCTTTTTATGGTTACACTAGTACAATGGTATTATGATAATTTTCGTGTTAAAGAGCATTCACATGATTAGGATGAAGAAATGCGATCTTATTTGAACCGTATGTACAATGGAAAAGAAGTTGATTGTATTGATCAATTCCGCATTAGCAAAAGTGCATTCAAAAAGTTATGTAGAATTTTAGAAGAAAATGGTGGGTTGGTTCGAACAAGAAATATTTCAATTGAAGAATTTGTAGCAATATTTTTGAAAATAATTGCTCACAACTTGAAATACAAAGTCATTGGTTTTGACTATTACCGTTCAATCAAAACAATTAGTCGGCAATTTGTTCAGGTATTGTACAGTGCTCAGGGCTCATTTGCAACATGAAACACACTTTGCACGACAGAAATAATTGAAGGGAACTATACGGACGGAGTATCATAAATTTTCTTTTGGCTACCTAACTGATATGTGACAACCTGCATGATTTCCACACTTTGATATATGATAAAAATTGTCACACCAGATCTGGCATTGGCAATCATCTTAGACTCAAAAACGAACATTGTAAGGCGGAAGCTAGTTGATTAGTCCAACAACCCATGATCACGCACCCATGCACACCACATATATCGATACCTCGCCTTAACTCAAGTAATTCCTGTCTCACGGAATCAAATAAAAAAGTGGTTAATAAATATCATAGCGCTCATACCTACTTCAACTATATATTACCTGAGAATGCGATAAGGTCTTGTGTCGCTAACATGTTACATGGATTCAATCAGGGACTGAGATCTAAATAAATCTAAGGAAAAGCAAATGTAACATGATGATGTAGAGGTTGCATTACTTTTACTTGTGTGTTTCGTAAACTTCAATAACATCAAATCATTTGATTCAGCACCATTCAACCAATCTGCATAAATTGGCCCTAGCATTCTGTCACTCAGTAGGTGCCTGCCTGACCCCAAGAAATAAAATACCTGCCAACAACCCCACACACCACCAAAGAAAAATGAATAAAGAAGTACATGAATCGGGTAAGTTAATTCACACTATATACACTGAACAGAAGAGGAAACATACAATACAATTCATATAATTGATAAGATTATTATCTGAATAAAAATGGACAGTGATGGATTTTTGGGAGGTTAGGGACCACACATCACATAAAGGTTTTGGGAGGATAATATATATATATATATATATTTTAATACTGATCACGATCTCTTCAATAACTCAAATAAATCTTGTCTCACTAAAGTAAACAAAAAATTTTTAGAAATATCATAGCCCCCACCACATGCCTCCTCCTCTCCTCCAACTACAAATTACAAGCAATATCAAATCAACACTGCACTACTCAACTTTCACACAATGGAGGCTTCTTCTTCCCTGGTTGTTTTAGCCCTTGCATTGCTAGCCGCTCTGGCCCTTCTCTCCAAAATTCTATTTGCCAAACGCCTAAAACTTCCACCAGGTCCAAAACCATGGCCTATAATTGGCAACCTCAATCTCCTTGGTCCTCTGCCTCATCAATCCCTACACAAATTGTCCCAAACTTATGGACCAATAATGCAGCTTAAGTTTGGCTCCTACCCAGTTGTTGTTGCCTCATCTCCAGAAATGACAAAACAATTTTTAAAGACACATGATCACATCTTTGCCTCTAGGCCTCAAACTGCTGCAGGCAAGTACCTCACTTATGACTACCTCAATGTCACCTGGGCACCTTATGGTCCATATTGGCGTCAAGGCCGCAAAATTTTCTCACGGAGCTGTTTAGCTACAAAAGACTAGAGTCTTTTCGATACATTCGGGTTGAGGAAAATCGTGCTTTTGCTTCGCGACTCTATGCCTTGTCGGGGAAGGCAGTTGTGCTCAAAGAGCATCTGTCACGCCTAAATCTTAGCATTATGAGCAGAATTGTGTTGGGGAAGGAGTATTTTTGCTTGACCGACTTCGAGAGTTCGATAATGTCACTCAAAGAATTTGAGGACATGTTAGATGAGTTGTTCTTGCTTAGTGGGGTATCCAATATAGGGGATTGGATACCATGGCTTGATTTTTTGGACTTGCAAGGTTATGTAAAGCGAATGAAGGCCGTAAAGAAAAAAATGGACCGGTTTTATGAGTTTGTGCTCCATGAACACAAGGCCAGGAAGGAAGGAGTGAAGGAGTTTGTGGCAAAGGACATGGTGGATTTACTACTGCAGCTGGTTGATGATCCTAAGGATCTTGAAGTTAAGCTCACCTATGACAGTATCAAGGCATTCGCTCAGGTATATGCTTCCAAAATCATTCCATTATTAAATTTCCTAAGATTACTGCAATGTTCTTTTGCCATACTTTGAATTTGGACCGCACATTATGCAGTCTGGCAAGAGAACATTTCTATATAAAAACTTATGTAGAAAAACACAGCATAAAGCTTTACACAAAATTGTTCACGTGGCTTATTAATTTTGTTCATCCAAATTAAAACCAGGACTTGATAGCTGGAGGCACTGATACCTCTGCTTCCCTTTTGGAATGGGCAATGTCTGAGCTCATAAAACAGCCAAACCTGATCGAAAAGGCGACAGAAGAGCTTGACAGAGTGATTGGGAGGGAGAAATGGGTAGAAGAGAAAGACCTCGAAAACCTTCCTTATATGGATGCAATTATGAAAGAGACCATGAGGAAGCACCCTGTGGTGGTAATGCTACCACCACATCTAGCTCTTGAAGATTGCAATGTGGCAGGTTATGATGTTCGTAAAGGGACTCTAGTGTTTGTGAACCCATGGAGCATGGGAAGAGACCCCACACTGTGGGATGCACCAGATGAGTTTAGGCCTGAGAGGTTCTTAGGGAAGACAATTGATGTGAAGGGACAGAGTTTTGAGTTATTGCCATTTGGTTCAGGAAGGAGGATGTGCCCTGGTTATAGTCTCGGACTGAAAATGATAGGGTCTTGTTTGGCTAACATGTTACATGGGTTTAACTGGAAACTGCCTGAAAATGTGAAAGTTGAAGATTTGGGCATGGAGGAGGTTTATGGATTGGTCACACCTCGGAAGTTCCCACTTGTTGCAGTCACAGAACCTCGGCTGCCATTACATCTTTATTAACTTAACTATATGTGAGGGGTTTGTAGCTCAATTGATTAAAAGCAGTTACCCCTGCATACTGCACTCAAAGTCCTATGTTCAAATCCCTCCTCATCAACATATCGCCGGTATCAACAATAGAAAATACAAAATAAAAAAACTCTGTGTAAATCGTGCCAGCTTTAAATTTCTTTTTAGTTCCATCTATGTAGTCTGCCAATATATATTTGATCAAGTAGGGAGGCTTAGTTTTCACAAAAAAATAACTTCTACTCAATATGTTGTAATTCGTTTTTATCAAAGAGAGACTGAAATCTGAATTGGGACGTAAGTGTGGCACATGTGACAAGTTCCATGATGTCTTCCACCCACCCATCTAGCCAATCATCCTGTGGAGCTCCACAATGTGCTGTAATTTATTTCATTTGTTCAGCCATTCTTCTGTGCTCATTGCTCCACTCGCTATTAAGTCTCCATGGCTCCGGCTATGTGGCGTTAACCGTGAATCATCCGAAAATATGCAGCATTGACATCTAGGGCAAATTTGCGACATGAAACAACCTTGATCCTCTCTGTTGTTGGAGAGCCAGACAGACATTCAGGTGGAACAAAATCTCATCAAAATGCATCAAAAATCACTGCCGTCGACTTGTTATAAGGTAAGGGTCTAAAAATAATTGATATTCATGGTGTCTCTTCTTCATTCCCCAAATAGAGGAATGTTAGCAACCTTCTCTTTAACATTCTCTTTTGGACGTTCTCCCTTTTTCTCATAACATGTGTCATTCTCCTTACATTTAAAACTATGCCATTAATGCATCATACAAATTATCTTTTGTTTTCCAAATTTAGCCTTACTATGTGTATTGACTTTCATGTTTCTTTCAACTTATCCTTTTTTTTTCTTCATAACTTCCTTACCACCTTATTAAAAAATTAAATAAGAAAAAATGTCATTTTTTTGCTGTTTACTTGGTTTTGGTCTTGAAGTGACGTTTTTCTTTCAAAATTGTTATGTGCAACAAAATTATGGGCTTTATTACTCCTTTTTTTTTCTGAAAAAAAAAACAAATATTTTCTTTCAAGTTTTCTTTTTATTAAATAAGGTGATAAGAAAGTTATTAATTTTTTTTTTGGATAAATTAAAGGAAACATAAAATTAATTCATTTAATAAGGGTAAATTTGGAAAACAAAAGATAGTTTGTAAGATACATTAATGATATTGTTTTAAGTGTAAAAAGAGTGACGCATGTCATAAGGAAAATGGAGAAAGTCCAAAAGAGAATGTTAGAGAGAAGGTTGCTAGCATTCCCCAATAAAAATATCTCAAGCAAAACAACCAACCGTACCATCATGAATTAAATAGCTAGAGACCATAATGGCAGCATGTGTGATGTGGGGCATCTGTCGGTGTAACTTTAAGTGTGATTGACAAGACAATGCTGCATTTCTATGCCTATTCTCACAACTTGTTAGTATGAAAATTGTATCAAGGCATTCGCTCAGGTATATGCTTCCAAAATCATTCCATTATTAAATTTCCTAAGATTACTGCAATGTTCTTTTGCCATACTTTGAATTTGGACCGCACATTATGCAGTCTGGCAAGAGAACATTTCTATATAAAAACTTACGTAAAAAAACACAGCATAAAGCTTTACACAAAATTGTTCATGTGGCTTGTTAATTTTGTTCATCCAAATTAAAATTAGGACTTGATAGCTGGAGGCACTGATACCTCTGCTTCCCTTTTGGAATGGGCAATGTCTGAGCTCATAAAACAGCCAAACCTGATCGAAAAAGGCGACAGAAGAGCTTGACAGAGTGATTGGGAAGGAGAAATGGGTAGAAGAGAAAGACCTCGAAAACCTTCCTTATATAGATGCAATTATGAAAGAGACCATGAGAAAGCACCCTGTGGTTGCAATGCTACCACCACATCTAGCTCTTGAAGATTGCAATGTGGCAGGTTATGATGTTTGTAAAGGGACTTTAGTGTTTGTGAACCTATGGAGCATGGGAAGAGACCCCACACTGTGGGATGCACCAGATGAGTTTAGGCCTGAGAGGTTCTTAGGGAAGGCAATTGATGTGAAGGGACAGAGTTTGAGTTCTTGCCATTTGGTTCAGGAAGGAGGATGTGCCCTGGTTATAGTCTGGACTGAAAATGATAGGGTGTTGTTTGGCTAACATGTTACATGGGTTCAACTGGAAACTGCCTGAAAATGTGAAAGTTGAAGATTTGGGCATGGAGGAGGTTTATGGAATGGTCACACCTCGGAAGTTCCCACTGGTTGTGGTCACAGAACCTCGGCTGCCAATCCATCTTTATTAACTATATGTGAATTTGCAGGCTGCAACCCAAGGTCCTATGTTCGAATCCCCCATCATTGACATATCGCCTGTATCAGCAATTGAAAAAATAAAATAAAAAACTAAATGTGAATCGTGCCAGCTTTAAATTTCTTTTTAGTTCCATCTATATAGTCTGCCAATATATATTTTGATCAAGTAGGGTGTGGCTTAGATTTCACAAAAAAAATATGACTAGTTCTACTCAATAAGTTGTAATTCGTTTTACCAACCATCCCGCCATGAATTCAAGAGCTAGAGTAGAGAACATAATGTGTGGTGTGGGGCATCTGTACTAATTAACTTGCCTGCTTTTCACACTTTGAGTAATGATAGAAAAATCAGATTCTACAGGTCCCAAACCATGGCCTATAATTGGCAACCTCAACCTCGTTGGTCCTCTGCCTCATCAGTCCGCTCACAAGCCCAAACTTATGGACCAATAATGCAGGTTAAGCTTGGCTCCTGCCCAGTTGTAGTTGCCTCATCTCCAGAAATGACAAAGCAATTTTTAAAGACGCATGATCACATCTTTGCCTCTAGGCCTCAAACTGCAGCAGGCAAGTACCTCAATTATGGCTACCTCAATGTCACTTATGCACCTACGACCCAACAATGGTATAAGAGTAACACTCTAAATTCCAACATGCGTAGTTAAGTATCCTTCATTGGCACTAGTATATCCCGGGTTTGTGTCATGCTACCAAGTCTTGGGTCCAAGGTCAAGAGGTGGAGTAATGGGTTTATGAACCTTCTTGGTAGGATAGTTATTCTACAAAAATGCACGTAATGGGATTATGGTGGGATTATCTTTTATCCCATATCCACATTCATTTTTAATCACCAAACATTGTATTGGATTAAGCTAATCCAATCCTACTACTTATCGTGGGCACCAAACGAGGCCAAAGTCCAGCAAAGGTTTGGGGGATTTCTTTTCATTGATTAAAGATGATGACTTAACTCAAGTAATTCCTGTCTCACTGAATCAAATAAAAAAGGGGTTAATAAATATCATAGCGCTCATACCTACTTCAACTATAAATTACCTGAGAATGTGATAAGGTCTTGTGTGGCTAAGATGTTACATGGGTTCAATCAGGGACTGAGATCTAAATAAATCTACTCTCCATTTGGATGAGGAAAATAACTCGGAATTTAGCTAAAAATCGGGAATTTAAGAGGAGAAATTGACAATTCCCTTGTTTGGCAACTTAAGCGTGGAATTTATTAAATGATGTGCGGAAAAAATCCTGAAAATTGAAGCATCAAACTCCCGAGTTTAATTTCCACCAAAATATGTGTCATTTCACAATTTTCATGTGCGGGAATTCATATTTTCCAGTGTGCCAAAACTACATTAAAAAAACAGCACCAAACTTTTCATTAAATAAAAAATAAAAAAAACAACGCCAAAGCTCATTTCACAATTATTTTTTATACAATGATCTTTTTTATGGTTACACTAGTACAATGGTATTATGATAATTTTCGTGTTAAAGAGCATTCACATGATTGGGATGAAGAAATGCGATCTTATTTGAACTGTATGTACAATGGAAAAGAAGTTGATTGTATTGATCAATTCCGAATTAGCAAAAGTGCATTCAAAAAGTTATGTAGAATTTTAGAAGAAAATGGTGGGTTGGTTCGAACAAGAAATATTTCAATTGAAGAATTTGTAGCAATATTTTTGAAAATAATTGCTCACAACTTGAAATACAAAGTCATTGGTTTTGACTATTACCGTTCAATCAAAACAATTAGTCGGCAATTTGTTCAGGTATTGTACAGTGCTCAGGGCTCATTTGCAACATGAAACACACTTTGCACGACAGAAATAATTGAAGGGAACAATACGGACGGAGTATCATTAATTTTCTTTTGGCTACCTGACTGATATGTGACAACCTGCATGATTTCCACACTTTGATATATGATAAAAATTGTCACACCAGATCTGGCATTGGCAATCATCTTAGACTCAAAAACGAACATTGTAAGGCGGAAGCTAGTTGATTAGTCCAACAACCCATGATCACGCACCCATGCACACCACATATATCGATACCTCGCCTTAATCTCGGAACATAAAGTTCATATTTTTGGATGAAATTAATCTAACTCATTCTAAGGGAAGAGGCATAATGCAGAGTGCAGAGAGACTACACAATCAACAAAGCAGTCTAACTTATCATAACAAACATTCGTACAGAGTTTTATTCAGTATGACTAGTTCTATTTTATTGAGAATTGGATCATAATATATATTGGGAGACACTCACTAAATAGATGAAAAAGAAAAAAAAAATTAAGCAGGGACACCAGCAGATTCAAATATAATTAGTAAAGATGGATTGGTAGCCGAGGTTCGACTATTGCAAGAAGTGGGAACTTCCGAGATGTTATCAATCCATAAACCTCCTCCATGTCCAAATCTTCTGTTTTCATATTCGCAGGCAATTTCCAATTGAACCCATGTAACATGTTGGCCAAGCAAGACCTTATCACTTTCAGTCCAAGACTATAACCAGGGCACATCCTCCTTCCTGAGCCAAATGGTAAGAACTCAAAACTCTGTCCCTTCACATCAATTGCCTTCCCTAAGAACCTTTCAGGCCTAAACTCATCAGGTGCATCCCACAGCGTGGGATCTCTCCCCATGCTCCATGTGTTCACAAACACTATAGTTCCTTTGTAAATATCATAGCCTGCCACATTGCAATCTTCAAGAGCTAGACGTGGTGGTAGCATTGCCACTACAGGGTGCTTCCTCATGGTCTCTTTCATAATTGCATCTATATAAGGAAGGTTCTCGAGGTCTTTCTCTTCCACCCATCTCTCCTTCCCAATCACTCTGTCAAGCTCTTCTGTTGCCTTTTTTATGAGGTTTGGTTGTTTTACAAGTTCAGACATTGTCCACTCCAAAATGTTTGCAGACGTATCACTGCCTCCAGTTATCAAGTCCTGGTTTTAATTTGAATGAACAAAATGAATCAATTATGTTTATATCTTTATGCTGTGTCTTTTACATATCTTATTAGGAGAAAAATTTTGTTTTAACGGACTACTGTGTGGTACATTTGTATATATTCACAGTCCGACAACATAAGTTTAGCCAAAGAACATTACCCTAATTTTTGGAAATTTAATAAGAAATAATAAATTTAAGAAGCACATACCTGAGTGAGTGCCTTGACACTGTCATAAGTGAGCTTAACTTCAAGATCATTAGGGTCATCAGCCAGCCGCAACAGTAAATCCACCATGTCCCCTGCCACAAATTTCTCCACTCCTTCCTTCCTTGCCTTGTGTTCATCAAGCACAAACTCATAAAAGCGGTTCAATTTTTTCGTTAAGGCCTTCATTCGCTTTACATACCCTTGCAAGTCCAAAAAATTAAGCCAGGGTATCCAATCCCCTATGTTGAATACCCCGCTAAGCAAGAACAACTCATCTGATGTGTCCTGAAATTCTTTGAATGACATTATCGAACTCTCAAATTTGGACATGCCAAAGTACTCCTTCCCGAACACAATTCTGCTCATAATGCTAAGAGTAAGGCGTGACAGATGCTCTTTGAGCACAACTGCCTTCCCTGACAAGGCATAGAGTCGTGAAATAAAAGCACGATTTTCCTCAACCCGAATGTATTGAAAATACTCTAATTTTTTTGAGCTAAACAGCTCCGTCAGAAAAATTTTGCGGGCTTGACGCCAATATGGACCATAAGGTGCCCAAGTGACATTGAGGTAGCCATAAGTGAGGTACTTGCCTACTGCAGTTTGAGGCCTAGAGGCAAAGATGCGATCATGTGTCTTTAAAATTGTTTTGCCATTTCTGGAGATGAGGCAATTACAACTGGGTAGGAGCCAAATTTGAGCTGCATTATTGGTCCATAAGTTTGGGACAATTTGTGGAGGGATTGATTAGGCAGACGACCAATGAGGTTGAGGTTGCCAATTATAGGCCATGGTTTGGGGCCTGGTGGAAGGTTTGGGCGGTTGGGAAAGAGAATTTTGGAGAGAAGAGCCAGAGCAGCTACCAGTGCAAGGGTTATAACAGTCCAAGAAAAAGCCTCCATTAATATGCGAGTTGTGGCTGTAATGGTGACTGATCTTGCAGGTAATTTATAGATGAAGCTAGTGAGTAGGTAGTTTGATTAGTGGCTACTAAAGAATCTCGTTATAAACGGGTTCTAGTGAAACCATATGCACGTGTATTTACACGTTAATCTCGTTATAAATTTTTTCTTTTATAAAAGGAAATAGTTTTTCTATTTAAACTTCACACTTTTCTTTATTCACCCCAATACTTAAATCATTAAGCTCTTAAGTTTTATTATTGTGTAAAAAAACAAAAAAGGTCATCTAACTTAATACTTAACCCTAGTACATCTATACACACACTCCACACACCCGACCACTTGGAAGAATTCAAATTCAATTTGAGTTTCCTAAGCCGCTAGTATAACAGTTATCCTTGCACCCATAGACTGAATCTAACTCTTATATGTCCCTTCCCAGTTAAAAAAAAAACAAAAAAGTCAATTTGAGTTTCTTCTATGAATTGGCTTAGATATCTTGAAGACTATGTGAAAGACTAAAGTTAGGATGGCCACGTGCAAAAGGGTGATTGCTGATACAAAATTAAAAGCTTTGATGACTATGAAGTGTGATTGCTGAAAATAAAACCAAAACCTCTTTGGAATTTTAATAATAAATAAAATAAAATCAAAACATCTAATACAACTTAATAATAATAATAAAATAATGATGTTACACATTTGACAACAGTGTTTTTATCTCTTTAAGTAATGTGAGGTTGAGCTGAACTTAGAGTGGTTAGGGGCAAGATAGCGGGGTGTGAGGTGTGGGGTTGATGAGTTTTTTTTTGGTTTTTCTGCCAGGTGTGTGTTTATTTAAAGGTAGTTTGGGAAGATAGTGAGGTTTTCTTAGAAATTGTGAAAATTTGAATTAGAAGTTGGGGTGAATAAAGAGAAGTGTGAGGTTTAAATAGAAAAACTCAAAGAAAATGCTCCAACAATCAGAAACTGTTGCTTTACTCACTGATTAGGGTTGATTTTCGAACAGATCGGATTGGAATTAGGGTTCCAATTCCATTCCAAAAAATTTGGAATGAAAATTCTTTTCCAATTCCATTCCAAAAAAAAATTCGGAATTTCAACATCCATTCCAATTCGAAAAACTCTGAATTTTCGGAAACTTTTGGAAATTACATATTTTGGAATATTTTTGGAAAGTTTCGGAAAATCATTAAAAAATTTAAACATGTCTAACAATTTGAAAGGTTAAAATTGGCTCAAATTTGAAAAATCATACGAAAATCTAGAAAAACTATTGTATGCTATCACTTATATGTTGTTATCCTTTATGAAATAGCTCGTCTATGTCTATTTGGTCATTAAGTCATGAAATTCAACATGAACTAGTCATTATGTGTAATCTAAACTTGAATCCTCAATATATTTCTTAATTCGGAATCTTGAAATACATTCCAATTCCAATCCTTTTTTTTCTTTTTTTGGAATTTTCGAATTTCAAAACTTCATATGTCGGAATTAATTTGGACTCACCAAAATCTTGAAATACCACGCGCTAATCTCCATCTTAATGTCAATTTCTCCATAAAACTGTTTCAACTTTGCTTACATGGATGCATGGGATGGGATGTTTATAAAATTGCTTGCATATTCCACGGGTACCCAACTTCCAGATTGGGTCAAGAAGTTTTTTTTATTTTTTATTGTACAGAGAAAGCAAAGCAGAAAAGAAAAGGAAAAAAACTGTAGCAAGAACATTGCAGATTCACATATGATATGATCAATAAAGATGGATTGGGAGCCGAGGCCCATGACTGCAACAAGAGGGGAAAATACTACTGAATCAAGAGTTAATTGGTTAAATTCTTTGAATTTTCTTTTTATAAATAATGTAGTAGTCGAATATTATTGTTTTGTTTTCCGAGTTTTTGCTTAGTGATTGCCGAAATAACTTAATCTATGAGGTCAACATTAGCATAGGTGAAGGTGAGTATAGATTTATGTGCCAACCCAGATTCAACAATATCAGATGTTAATATACTAATGCACTCTGATATTGCCCATTGTTGACTTCAAAAATCTAAGGTAAAAAAAGACAGATGCAACATCGAAGAGAGGTTGCAACTTGGATCACTAGTGTTTCCTAAAGCTTCAATAGCATTAAAATTCAATCAATCTGCATTGGCAATAACAAAATAACGCTAATTTCAACAATAGTAGCATGGGCTAATCTCCATGTTAATGTTAATTTCTCCATAAAACTATTTCAACTTTGCTTAAATGGATGCATCGGATGGGATGTTTATAAAATTGCACGCATGTTTCACGGGTACCCAACTTTTCCGAATAAAATACACATATCCAGATTGGGTCAAGAAGTTTTTTTTAATTGTAAAGCAAAAAGGAAAAAAACAAACAAACAAACAAACAAACAAAACTGTAGCAAGAACACTGCAGATTCAGATATGATATGATCAATAAAGATGGATTGGGAGCCGAGGCTCCATGACTGCAACAAGAGGGAACTTCCTTGGTGTTGACAATCCAGCAACTTCGTCCATGCTCAAATCTTCTGGTTTCATATTCTCAGGCAATTTCCAATTAAACCCATGTAACATGTTAGCCAAGCTGCACCTAATCATTTTTAGTCCGAGGCCATAACCAGGGCACATCCTCCTTCCTGAGCCAAATGGCAGCAGCTCAAAACTCTGACCCTTCACATCAATTGCCTTCCCTAAGAACCTCTCTGGGTTGAACTCTTCTGGTGCATCCCATAGTGAAGGGTCTCTCCCTATGCTCCATGTGTTTATGAACACTCTAGTTCCTTTACAAATATCATAACCTTCCACTTTGCAATCTTCAAGAGCTAAATGTGGTGCAAGCATTGCAACCACAGGGTGCTTCCTCATTGTCTCTTTCATAATTGCATCTATATAAGGAAGGTTTTCGAGGTCTTTCTCTTCCACCCATCTCTCTCTTCCAATTACTCTGTCAAGCTCTTCGGTTGCCTTTTCGATGAGGTGTGGTTGTCTTATGAGTTCAGACATTGCCCACTCCAAATTGGTAGCAGAGGTATCTGTGCCCCCTGCTATTAAATCCTGTTTTACAATCAACAAAATGGGACAAAATGTGTTTCATATGATCATGTTTCTTTTACCACAAACTATTTTTGTCACGCAAAAAAATAAGTAAAGCAAATAAACTGAAATGTTTTGGATAGTGTACCTGAGTGAATCCCTTGACACTGTCACGGTTGAGCTTAACTTCAAGATCAGGATCATCAACCAGCTGCAACAGTAAGTCCACCATGTCTTTTGGCACAAAATTTGTCTCTTCTTTCTTCCTTGCCTTGTGTTCATCCAATATATAATCATGGAAGAGATCAAATTTTTTCTTTAAGGCCTTCATTTGCTTTACGTATCCTTGTAAGTCGAAAAATCTAAGCCATGGTATCCAATCCCCAATATTTAACACCCCACTAAGACACACCAACTCATCTAACATGTCCTGAAATTCTCTCAGTGTCATTGTGGAAGTCACAAACTGAGACTCACTAAAATACTCTTTACCTAACACAATCCTGCTCACAGTGCTAAGAGTTAGCCTTGAGATATGCTCTTTAAGCATGACTGGCTTACCTGACAAGGCATAGAATCGCGATGTAAAAGCGCGAATTTCCTCAACACGAATGTACTCAAAAGACTGTAGTCTTTTTGAGCTAAATAGCTCGGACATGAAAAATTTTCTCCCTTGACGCCAATATGGACCAAAAGGTGCCCAAGTGATGTTTCTGTAGTTGTAAGTGAGGTACTTGCCTGCTGCAGTTTGAGGTCTGGAGGCAAAGACATGATCATGCGTCTTCAGAAACTGTTTTGCCATTTCTGCTGATGAGGCAATTACCACTGGATAGGAGCCAAACTTAAGCTGCATTAAGGGTCCATAAGTTTGAGATAACTTGTGAAGGCATTGATGTGGGAGAGGTCCCATGAGGTTAAGGTTGCCAAGTATAGGCCATGGTTTTGGACCTGGCGGAGCTTTTAGTTTGTGGCTTTGGGAAAATATAATTTTTGATAGGAAGGCCAGAGTAGCTAGACATGCCAGGGTTAAAACAATCAAAGAAGAAGAAGCCTCCATTGATGTGGGTTGTGGTGTAATGGTGAGAATTTGAGGTGATCTTGCATGTATTTATAATGCATATGTATGTACATGATGATATACTTGTTGACCATTTTTAGTCTTGATATTATTCTCGCGGGAAATTTTTTATATCTCAACTTTAACTCAATATACCCTACACTCATGTAAATGAGGTGGAGCTGAAGTGAGCACGTAGGTGTGAACAAATTGTAGGGTACGGTATATGTATAGAATTTCCCTATTCTTATTATTTTATTTAGGGAGAATAATGGGATGCTATTGGATATCAATTTATAATACCCCAATATATTGTCCATAGTTTTCCCAAAAAAGAAAAATATTGTCCATAGTTTGTCTATATTACCAATTTACCAAATATCGACGAAATAACAACTAAATTAACATACGAATTCGATGTTTATTTAAAGGGGGTCATGTTAGAGAGACCACATTTTATATACCATTAATACGATGGGTCTCACTTTTATTATAATGATGTGCACAAAGTGGTCTCTCTAGCATTTTTCTTAATTAAATACTATGTGTGTAAACCAGGTATCCTTCCCCTATATGACGTGTCGTTCTCCAGGGTTGGAATGTACTTCGTGGAAGATTTGCACACTAAGAACAACTATCATAATATGAGCAAAATAAGGCTGATCCCAGTAGAGCTCCCTCCGATGGTGTTCACTCGTTTTGCGTTTACTCCTGTGGTGGAAGGGCAAAGTTCCCCACTGCCTTGTGAACCATTGACTGGTCAACAAGTCAGCTTTCTTTGGTGTGCGAGCGTGCCACTGCTAGCAATGAAGATTCTAGCAGACTTAGTTTAGAATGGATAACTTGCGCCCCAAGTTACTGATTTCTGCAAACAAACGATTGTGAATTTGGGTGAGGAATATCTCTCAAGTAAGTTCTTTTCTTGCCTCAGACTGGTGAGGACTTTAACAATTTATCTCAGTATAAAGAGGTTGTTCTGGCCAGAATGGTTGATGGAATTTAAACTGTCTTGGGCAGAACTACCTTTTACAGAACTATAAAAATAAATATCCATACTAAAAAGATAAAAGGACAGTTGGAAATTCATTTATGTCTGAATAGGAGGCTTTGATCCGGGCTGGGCTGGAAATGTCTGGGCTGGACTGGACTAGACTGTTAACAATTTCAACTGCTAAGCTTCAGCTGTAAATCAATACCAAAGGTTAATTCTGGCAGAGCTTTAATGTACTTTAAGCTTTTGTGAGGCTTTTGAGTCGGCAGAACTACGGTTTCTTCAATCTACAAGGGCAGAAGTGGCTGTTCTCGAGGACTTCAGTGGGCTAGAGACTGCACTGTGAAATTTGTTGAGGTTTTCATGTTTGGGAAAAGCTCAAGCTCTACCTGTCTTGATTCTTTGCTGAGCCAAATTTGTAACGAGAGAAATCTCGTTTTGATTGATTTTTTTCTAAGTCTGAACCTTGGGAATTCTGATCTGAAGCTGGTTTCACTTGGAATTCAAGTGGGCTTTTTGGTTGATTTTTGAGTTGTTTGTTTGTTTGATCGTTTTTATTGATTGTTGTTGAATTGAGTGTCTTTGAACCTGTTCACCCTCTCCTCTATTTATAATAGATGTTTAGGTTTATGGTTTCTTTCTTAAAATAATGGGCGGCAAATCTTTTAAAAATCTAGAAAGAAATACAAGAGAGAAGAGTTTAAAATTTTGTCAGATAGGCTCTCATCAATCAATCCTTAAGATCACTTCCCTGTTTAAAAGAAAACCTAATCTCTTTTCCCAATTTTAACTGCCCCTTGTGAGATTTCATCCGTGATGGTTAGTTTGATTTCTTCAATTTGAACAACTCCCTACTTTCCTGCTTATCTCTTTCTGAGATTGTAGCTTGCTTATCTCTTGGGAGAATCACATTCTCTGTAAAGTAGAAAAAATCTCTAAATATATATATGTAAGAGGGATTTGATCTTCAGATTTTCAGAGGTGTCTCTTCTAGTTTGCCAGCCACTGACCCTTCCATTTATCAACTCTGTGCTAGTTGGTTTTGTTGACTTTTCCAAACCTTATAATACAAAGATGTCACGTGGGTTCTAGGATGGGTCCCTTTCTTTATCCAAATCGTGTTGGGTTTATTTTGTTTGGAGCCCAAGATGTGATTTTCTTTTAAGGCCCGAGTCTATTGGCCTGGTTTAGGCTAGGCCTTTTTGGATCTTGGGTTTCCTCTTGTTGGGCTGGGCGTGCTAATTTAGGCCTAAACAGATGGTGAAGTCAGATATGATAATAGGGTAGAGAGAATGTATATAGGGTTTACTTAGTGAGAATAGTTATTACTTTTATCCAGAAATAAGTGGAGGGTATTTATAGGAGGGACAAAATAAAGATATTTGTACGGAGGTCTTCCCCCCTTCCTCCTCTAGTATGGGTTTCATTAAAGGCTTAATTATGTACATGCCCCCTGTGCTTTCCAACTTATCTCATATTACCATTTGTGTTTGCAAACGGCTCAAAGTACCCCCCAACGTTTAAAAAACCGTCTCACGTTACCCTTTCTGTAAGTTTTTTTGAAGTTCCGTTACGAACGTTACTGTTCATCCCCCCAAAATTCCAGAACAGCAACCCATCCCCTTTGTTACTGTTCATCCGACCAGTTTTTGGGCTGCCATCTCCTCCTCCGGCCACCCCAAGCGACGACATGGGTATCAAAAGAACCAGCACGTTGTCCTCTACCACCCTCACATCTCATCCGCTACCAACCGCCGTCTGGATCGCCCAAAAAAGCAAGAAATTGGCCGATTTTTACCCAAAATCTCCATTGCTCGTTCGGGCGATTCCGAGCACCATTTGCTTCGATCCATGTATGGTTTTTCAACCTCTCGAGCTGTTCTTGCTGCTAGTTGTGTTGGTTATGAGAAATTTCTGAGTTTTGGAGGATAAATAAGCGATGAACAGTAACAAAGGGGATGGCCTGCTGTTCTGGAATTTTGGGGGGGATAAACAGTAACGTTCGTAACGGAACTTCAAAAAAACTGACGGAAAGGGTAACGTGAGACGGTTTTTTAAACGTTGGGGGGTACTTTGAGCCGTTTGCAAACACAGGTGGTAATCTGAGATAAGTTGGAAAGCACAGGGGGCATGTACATAATTAAGCCTTCATTAAATGACCGCCATGCTTATTGTACATGGGTCAGGTGGCGAAATGACCAGTAACCAAGGATGGGAGGTGAAATAAATAGTCCCTCTCCGTCATCAGTCTTGTTCACTCGGGTTTTTAGAGGGTGAGGCAACACTTAGTCCAAGATGGGATGTGCCTTAATTGACCTTTCCCCTCTCATCAGGCTGTTTATTACAAAGGTGGAATGATCGATTTGACAAGGGTCTTGGTCAAGTCTACTGGCTATTAATGCGCCTATGGTGCTCAGGTCGGTGTCTTAGACAACCGAGTGCTTGTTCAGCCTTTGATCTGTCCTATCCCTATCAGGGAGCTCCATACGCTCGGGTCAATATACGAGTGATCTGGTATGTCGTGGCCACGTGGTGATTTGCAATCAGGTTCAGCTCGGGTCGATATACGAGTGATCTGGTCTATTGTGGCCACGTGGTGGTTTGCAATCAGGTTCAGCTCGGGTCGATATACGAGTGATCTGGTCTATTGTGGCCACGTGGTGATTTGCAATCAGGTTCAGCTCGGGTCGATATACGAGTGATCTGGTCTATTGTGGCCACGTGGTGGTTTGCAATCAGGTTCAGCTCGCAATGAGAGTATGAGCTGTTAACAACGTGGAAGGTGAGTCTAATTAAATGCTACGTGGAAGGTGTGGCAGCAAACCCAATCTCGAGGTAATCAAATGGCGGTTTTAAAAATAGAAAATCACGTTCTAATAAATAGGTTCCTTTGCTCTGTGTGCAGACTCACAGGGATATGATCCAAAGTAGTGTAGTGCTTTAGTTAGGAAAAAAAAGAAGGTGTAGTGGTTATTAACAGAGATTTATGGGCCATCCAAAATCTTTGGCTGCAAATCATGTTATTATGTTAAGGAGGGTCCTCCCTTTCGGATGACACAATCCATTTCTAATTTGTTTTTCACATGTTAATTATCTCCTGCTGCTAATTAAACATGTGTTTCAAAAACAAATCATGTTCTTAAACTGAGAATTCGTATGATAACACATCCTTGTGCAGAAGCAAACTGGGGACCACTACTAGTACGAGAGATCCTTTGTGTTGTTTGTTAAAGTTGTTTGCTTTCTGTGTTTAGTAAGAGTGTCCTGATTAATTAGCTTTAAAATAAGAATGTAGTGGTTAACAATCATTTGCATGGTTTTTTTATTTTTTTTATTTTTATCAAGAAGAAGATTCATAGACCTCTTCTAATACTGAGAATAGAAATACCACTTAGACTAATAGCAACAAAGATTTGTAAGAAACAAAAAGAAAATGCCAACATAGAACACAAGTTGCAGAGCATTAGACTAGTGGTTGCCAATATCATTCACGTTTTACCAACTTTCTTTTTCTTAACAACCAAAAGCTAGCACACAAGCACAACAATGCAGATCACACACACAAACAAAAGCACAGAGAGAGAGAGAGAGAGAGAGAGAGAGAGAGAGAGGAAACTTGATGGCAGCGAAAGTGCCAAACCATCTGGGTTTTTTACGGGCTCTGCATCAATAATTTGACTGTGGTTGGAGGAACTGGTTAACATGGCAGACGGAGACGCTAGTCAGATGATCAGAGCCAAGTGCTTTTTTGGGTTTTGGCATCTTTAATTTGGAGTATCCATGAACATAGATAATAATTAAAATAGAAAATGGGCAAATGGATTCAAAATATTATATAGACCACTAGTTGTGGAGCAGTAGACTAGTGGAAGTGGTTGGTAATATCATTCACGTTTTACCAACTTTCTTTTTCGTAACAAACAAAAGCTAGCACACAGCAAAATGCAGATCACACAAAAACAAAAGATTAAGGCTTGAAAGAGACAATATGTAATTATTTCTGATATTAAGAATCTCCCTTGGATGAAGTCAAGAAGATTGTTTCAATCACAAAGAACAAATATGGATAACATTACAGATTCACATATACTTGGCAAAGATGTCTCCCAAGTGTTGAAAGGACATTATACATGGTGTTATTTCTTAAGGTTTTGAAAGAGACAACATCACAACTTCACATATAATTAATAAAGATGGGTTGGGAGCCGAGGCTCCATGACTGCTCAAGTCTTCTGTTTTCATATTCTCAGACAATTTCCAGTTAAATCCTTGTAACAAGTTAGCCAAGCTAGACCTTATCATTTTAAGTCCAAGGCTATAACCAGGGCACATCCTCCTTCCTGAGCCAAATGGAAGCAGTTCAAAACTCTGCCCCTTCACATCAATGGCCTTCCCTAAGAACCTCTCAGGCCTAAACTCATCTGGTGCATCCCATAGTGAAGGGTCTCTCCCCATGCTCCATTTGTTTATGAACACTCTAGTTCCTTTGCAAATATCATAACCACCCGCATTGCAATCTTCAAGAGCTAGATGTGGAGCTAGCATTACAGCAACTGGGTGCTTCCTCATTGTCTCTTTCATAATTGCATCTACATAAGGAAGTTGTTCAAGTCTCTCTCTTCTACCCATCTGTTGCTCTCAGTTACTCTGTCAAGCTCTTCGGTTGCCTTTGCGATGAGGTGTGGTTGCTTTAAGAGCTCAGACATTGCCCATTCCAGTGGTAGCAGAGGTATCAGTGCCTCCAGCTATTAAATCCTGATTTGAAAAATGGAATAGTTTATATTGTAAGGGTATGAAACAATATGCGAAGATTATCACTTTTGTGAAAAATGGAATAGCTGAAGAACATGATTAAAAAACCTTTTGAAATCAGAGCTAATAATTTATCAGTTGATAATTTCAAAAGGTTTTTTTATGCACCTCATGACATTGTTCATGGTCCCAACTTTTGTGAATGTTAATTGCATGCAGATTGGGCTCAAGAATTTGTCTTTTTGTATTCTGAAAACAATGGCACTCATAAGTAAAACCGTACTCATGAAAGAACACAAGACTTGAAACAGACATTAAGAATCTGACTTGGATGAAGAAAAGAAGATACTGTTTCATTCACAGAGTGTAAAATCAGTAAGGGATTATTGATTACATTGAGGCTTAATTATTTAATGGCCGACAGTCTAAAGCTTGCAAGGACATTACAGATTCACATGTAATTAATAAAGATGGGCAGGGAGCCGGGGCTCCACAACTGCAACAAGTGGGAACTTCCGAGGTGTGGCCAATCCGAAAACTTCCTCCATGCTCAAATCTTCTGGTTTCATATTGCCAGGTAATTTCCAATTAAATCCATGTAACAAGTTAGCCAAACTGGACCTTATCATTTTCAGTCCAAGGCTATAACCAGGGCACATCCTCCTTCCTGAGCCAAATGGCAGGAGCTCAAAGTTTTGTCCCTTCACATCAATTGACTTCCCTAAGAATCTATCGGGGTTGAACTTGTGAACAATTCAAGCAGAAGCAGAGAATGCCAATATATTCACAAAACAATTAATTAATATACAGCAGCTGTAAGCTTACAATATATAGGCATATAAAGATGCCCTAGATAAGTAAAAGACCTAACTACCCTTAAAAGACACAGACTCAAATATATATTAATATTGGCTCTACAATTGTCACACCCCCTGTCAAACTCACGATGTTACAGTATTAAGCATCGAGAGTTTGCTAAGAAGAAAGCGGAAGCGAGCAAAAGTGTGAGACTTGGTGAAGAAGTCGGCCAATTGCATGGTGGAGGAGACAAAAGGAAGAGAGATAGTGCCTTGCTGGAAATGATGGCGAACACAGTGACAATCCAACTCGATGTGCTTTGTGCGCTCATGAAAGACAGAGTTGTGAGCAATTTGAATGGCACTTTTATTATCACAATACATAAGAGTAGGCATAGAGAGAGAAACACCCATATCTTGAAGCAACCACCGAAGCCAAACAATTTCAGCAGCAGTAGAGGCCATAGCACGATACTCAGCCTCAGCAGAAGAACGAGAAACAACTGATTGTTTCTTACTCTTCCAGGAGATAAGAGAATCACCAAGAAAAATGCAATAACCAGTAGTAGATTTCCGATCAAAAGGATCGCTAGCCCAACTAGCATCAGAAAAGGCTCGAAGCTCCAAAGTGGAGGTGGAAGGAAGCAATAAGCTTTGAAACAATGTCCCTCGAAGATAGCGTAAAATACGAATCACAGCAGCCCAGTGAAGAGTAGTGGGAGAAGAGACAAACTGACTAACAATATGAACAGCATAGGCAATATCAGGGCGAGTAATAGTGAGATAAACCAAGCTCCCAACAATAGTGCGATAAAGAGTAGGATCATCCAAAGGGGTACCATCAGATGGAGAATAACGCACATTGAGCTCAAGAGGCGTATCAGCCACTCTAGTATCTGTAATACGAGCTTTTTGAAGAACGTCAGCGGCATACTTAGACTGAGAAAGGAGATAACCTTTAGGGGAAGATGCAACTTCAATGCCAAGGAAATAACGTAAGGGACCTAAATCCTTCATCTCAAATCGATCATGTAAAGCCAATTTTAATTGGGTGATACCATCCAAATCATCACCCGTAAGAATCATGTCATCAACATAAAGGAGGAGAAGGATACGACCAACAGAGGTAGAACGAACAAACAAGGCAGGATCATGAGCACTTGATTGAAAACCAAGAGAACCAATAACAGCAGAGAATTTCTCAAACCAAGCACGAGGAGCTTGTTTAAGACCATACAAAGCTTTCCGTAAACGACACACCTCCCCGGGATTATGAAGAACACCTGGAGGGGGAACCATATACACCTCTTCGAAAAGATCCCCATTCAAAAAAGCATTTTTAACATCCATCTGTGATAAACTCCATTGATGAACTGAGGCAACAGCAAGTAAAGTACGAACAGAAGTCATCTTGGCCACTGGAGCAAAGGTCTCTTCATAATCAAGGCCATATTCCTGTGTAAATCCCTTAGCAACCAAACGAGCCTTATATCTCTCAAGAGAACCATCAGACTTAGTCTTAATTTTATAAACCCATCGACATCCAACTGCATGTTTACCGGGAGGAAGAGGAACCAAATCCCATGTGCCAGTTTTATGCAGAGCAGAAAGTTCTTCATTCATAGCCTGTTGCCAAAGAGGATTACATATAGCCTCCTTGTAGGAGGTGGGTTCAGAGAGAGTATGTATAGAAGATAAGAAAGAAGAGAAATCATGAGAATAACAAGAATAACTAAAATCAGTAGAAGAATAACCAAACCGATGAGGGGGCTTATGAGTGCGCGAAGGATAACGAGGTGCTATTGGATCCACATCCACAGAAGTTGAAGCAGGCACCAAAGGAGAAGAAGGATTATTAGTGTCAGAACTGATGACATGTTTCCTGCGAGAATACACTTGAGTAATAGGAGGAGAAGTAACACAAGGATTAGAAGGGGAACTAGAAACAGAAGAAATATTAACATTGTCAGAATAAGAGAAATCATCATTACTAGGTGAAAAAGGATCGATATACATGAGCTCAGAAGTCGATAAAGTAGGAGAACTAGTAGGAATGGAGAAAAAAGGAATATGCTCAAGAAAAACCACATGACGAGAAACATACAATTTTTGTGCACTAGGATCATAACAACGATAACCTTTTTGTCCTTCGCCATAACCAAGAAAAACACACATAGCAGAGCGAGCAGATAATTTTGTATGTTCAACAGGAGGACGAAGAACAAAACAAGTACAACCAAACACTTTCAATGAGAAATAATCAGGACTATTACCATACAATCTTTCAAACGGAGATATACCAGAGGTGAGAGATGTGGGAATACGATTAATCACATGATTGGCAGTCAGAACTGCTTCGCCCCAAAAAACTTTTGGGACATCAGCAGAAAGCAACATAGACCTGGCAGTTTCAACAATATGTCGATGTTTCCTTTCGGCAACACCGTTTTGTTCAGGAGTGGCAGTGCAAGAGAATTGGTGTATGGTACCATCTGAAGCAAGTAAGTCAGTGAAAGCATGAGAGGTATATTCACCACCCAAGTCACACCGAAAACATTTAATGACAGTAGAAAATTGTGTATGAACAAGGGCGCGAAAATTTTGAAAGATAGTAAAGAAATCAGAGCGGCGTTTCATAAGATAAATCCAACAATAACGAGAGTAGTCATCAATAAATGAAACATAATATCTAGCGCCCCCTTTACTAGAAATAGGAGCTGGGCCCCATACATCAGAGTGAATTAAATCAAAAGGTGCTAAAGAAATAGAGGAACTTCTAGTAAAAGGTAATGCAGAAAATTTGGCAAGTTTACACCCACTACAATCTGAAATGTCATGACAATTGAAATTGCCTAAAGCTCCTGTAGAAACTAAATATTTCAAACGAGAACCAGAGACATGACCAAGACGAGAATGCCAAAGATAAAAATTAGACGACTTAGGACTCAGACAAAAAGACGACAAATCAATAGACGAAGCCACCAAGGCAGGAATCTGGAGCTTCTCCAACACATATAATCCTCCCTCTCTACGGCCTGTCCCAATCAGCTTCTTGGAGTGAGGATCCTGTACATAACACGAAGTAGAAGAAAATTGAACAACATAGCCAGAAGCACATAATTGACTAATAGAAATCAAATTCAAGGTGAGTTGAGGAATATAATAGACATCAGATAGACATAGGCTAGAAGTTGTGATAGAGCCAATACCAGCCAATGACATAGAAGTGCCATTGGCAATCAAAACAGAAATTGACGTGGACAAAGAAGACAATGAAGTAAACAATGACAAATCACTAGTCATATGATGTGTAGCGCCTGAGTCAAAGATCCAAGTGGATGGGGATATACCTGAAGAAGATGAGGAAGGCAAACCTGAAGAATGGGAAATCATGGACAAGGCATTAGGCTGATGGGTAGAACAAAGCTTCTGAAATGCTCTGCAGTCAGGGAATCATCTTTTTCACTAGCCAAACAATATAGAAGATACAAGAGCCAAAAGCAGCGGAAACCAAAATAGATGAAAAACCAAGAAGACAAGAGTAGACAACACCAGAAAACGCAGCAGCAAATCAACAAGGAAACACAGCAACACGAATCAAGAAGGCATAAGGGGGGAAGAACAAAAAACAGGCAGCAACCCAGGAAGATTGCTCTGATACCATGTGAACAATTCAAGCAGAAGCAGAGAATGCCAATATATTCACAAAACAATTAATTAATATACAGCAGCTGTAAGCTTACAATATATAGGCATATAAAGATGCCCTAGATAAGTAAAAGACCTAACTACCCTTAAAAGACACAGACTCAAATATATATTAATATTGGCTCTACAATTGTCACAGAACTCATCTGGTGCATCCCATTGTGAAGGATCTCTCCCCATGCTCCATGTGTTTATGAACACTCTAGTTCCTTTGCAAATATCATAACCTCCCACATTGCAATCTTCAAGAGCTAGATGTGGAGCTAGCATTACAGCAACTGGGTGCTTCCTCATTGTCTCTTTCATAATTGCATCTATGTAAGGAAGTTGTGGGATGTCTTTCTCTTCTACCCATCTCCCTCTCCCAATCACTCTGTCGAGCTCTTCGGTTGCCTTTTCGATGAGGTGTGGTTGTTTCATGAGCTCAGACATTGCCCACTCCACAGTGGTTGCAGAGGTATCAGTTCCTCCTGCTATTAAATCCTGATACAAAATGGAACAGTTCACATTGAGGTTTAGAATGGGACCAAATTTAAATTAAGATTTTAAAAAAAAAATCATCACGTCATGTGATGAATAAAATTTGGTAAATAAATTTGGTGATTGTACATATAAAACATACATACCTGAGTGAATCCCTTGACACTGTCATAATTGAGCTTAACTTCAATATCAGGATCTTCAGCCAGCTGCAACAGTAAGTCCACCATGTCCTTTGGCACAAAATCTTTAACTCCTTCCTTCTTTGCCCTGTGTTCATCAAACACATGATCGTGAAACCGGTCGAATTTTTTCTTTAAGGCCTTCATTCGTTTAACAAACCATTGCAAGTCAAAAAACTGAACCCATGGGATCCAATCCCCTATGTTCAAAACCCCATTAAGCAAGAACAGCTCATCTAACATCTTTTGAAATTCTTCTAGTGTCACTATCGAACTCTCAGATTCAGACGTGCTAAAATACTTCTTACCCAACACAATTCTACTTATAATGGTAAGAGTTAGGCGTGACAGATGCTCTTTGAGCAGGGTTGGCTTGCCTGACAAGGCACAGAGCCCCGAGAGAAAGGCACGATTTTCCTCAACACGAATGTATTCGACAGTCTCTAGTATCTTTGAGCTAAACAGATGGGAGAGGTAAATTTTGCGGCCTTGGGGCCAATATGGACCATGAGGTGCCCAAGTGAGATTGCTGTAGTTATAAGTTGTGTACTTACCAGCTGCAGTTTGGGGTCTAGAGGCAAAGATGTGATCATGTGTCCTCAAAAATTGTTTTGCCATTTCTGCAGATGAGGCAATCACAACTGGATAGGGGCCAAACTTGAGCTGCATTATTGGTCCATAAATTTGGGACAATTTATGAAGGGATTGATGAGGCAGAGGACCAATGAGGTTGAGGTTGCCAATTACAGGCCATGGTTTGGGGCCAGGTGGAAATTTTAGCTTCTGGGATTGGGAGAAGAAAATTTTTGAGACAAGGGCTAGAGTAGCTACCAATGCCAGGGTCAAAATAACATAAGAAATAGCCTCCATTATGGGGATTGTTGCTGTGGTAAATTGGTGAGGAATTTAGATGGGACTTAGGAGGTATTTATATAGTACTTGAAGACTTGAAGCATGTAGATGCTATATATTTCTTAACCCTTTTAAATTCATTTTAATATTCCCATTTTGTTTAGACACTTTGATATTTCTTAACCCTTTTAAATTCATTTTAATATAATTTAGCTAAATCTCTGTGTCTGTCAAGATTTGAATAATAAAACTCATTAGTCGATAAAAAATGTGTTTAGCACTAATTTTGTGTTTGTTTAGCACTAAGCTTAGGGCTTTTTCAGTTGCTTGCCTGAAAAAATTTCAGGAGGTTATTAAAATAAAAAAACCATTTAGAGCATCTCCAACCGATATGTCAAACGTTCCACATAAACATTTAACAACTATAAATAACATCTCATATCACTCCAACCGATGTGTCAAAGCTGATGTGGAATGAAGGCTGGAGGTTGAGATGTCATTTTTGACATCCCAAACAAGGGCGGAACCAAGAATTTTTCAACGGGTGGGCTAGCTAAAGTTATTAGCTTTAATTTAATTTTGATTTTTTTTTTTTTTTTTTTTTTTTTTTTTTTTACATATTTCTATTAGTCTTTCTAGAAATAAAAGTAAACATTAAATCATATAAACCAAGCTAGTTCATAGCTCCATAGACTAATTTTCAATAAGTTTTAACATAAACTAAATAGGGTTTAACACCATAGTGGATTGAACATCTAAGGTTTTTTACCTAGATTGACCTTAGGTTCTTTCATGCATTCATATTATAGATGAAAATTATTTTATGTAAAAATATTGACTAAGTATGAAAAATGGGTTTTCGAAATAATCATTTTCTCAAGATAATTTTTGGCAGCTTTTATTCCTCACACATCAAATAAGAAAACTTGATTTTATGGGATTTTAGTATGAAGTATATATTGACTTAATGAGCCATCATTTTTAGCCTAAATCGTATTTGGCACTAAAACCGATTTTTCATATTTTGATTTGGTGGGAATTTGATTTTCTAGTATTTTTATTTGAATCCAAATGGGGGGTACTTCCTTATTTACATCGTAAACTTAAGTAAATGGAGTAATATAAAAATAAATAAAAGTAAAATGACAAAGACATTTACTTAAATGTTGAAAATGGAAATAAGGTAATCTGTATAGCGTCACTGACTGGGCTAATATTGAAAATAAGTTAAATATATAAGTTTTATATTTTTTTTTCTTAAAAAACCACACTGGGCTACAGCCCACTGTAGCCCTCAGTGTGGTTCCGCCCTTGATCCCAAAAGCAAGATGTCAAATGAATATTTTATTATTTTTTCTTTTCTTTTCTTTTTAACTAAAATAAATCAACACTAAAATGTAATAAAATAATAATTTAATTTGACATATCGAGTGGAGTGTAAAGTTGTATAAGATGTCAAATTGCCACATCAGTCATCAAATTTAAATTTGATGTTTGGTATTTGATATCTCCCTTACAGCATTGGCATCAAGGGGCCCAAGGGGAAGGTTGGGGGGGGGGAGGGCAAACCCAAAATGTGGTTTCCAGCAACAAGAAGCTGCCATGGCAAGCAGTGGGGCCCACAAACCTGGGCTGGCCCGAGCTCCAGCCCGCGGGCTGTGATGACGTCAGCGCTGCAGTTTAAATTTTTTTAAAGCTGGCGCGTGTAGTGCACGCACCCAGTTTTAAAAAAATTTGACGTGCGCTACAGTAACCGCCCAACGGCATGATTCCACTTGTCGGCTGCTAGGCCATCCGATCTGCTTTTTAAACATATCCAACGGCAGCCATTTTTTCGCGAATAAAAAAATCGAAAAAGCAACCCCCAACGGCTCTATGCCACGTGGAAGCTCCTGGACTCTCCGATCAGTTTTTTCCAGCAATCCAACGGCAGGCAATTTTTTGCCCAATAAAAAAATGAAAAAAAATCGGAAAAAATTTTTAAAAAAATACTGAATTTTTTTTTCTATAAATACCAACCAATACTCTTCACTTTTAACACCAACTCTTCATCCAAATTAATTGTTTAAGTAAACAAAGTTGTGAAAAAAAACAAAAAAATGAATAGTATTTGTCATGGCAAGCCTTGCACTGCTGGAAACACATTTTTTTTTTGTGCTAGGGCAGCCACTATTCACGTGAATAGTACCCGCCCTAAGGCTCCCCTTGCCATAACAAGGGGCTAACTAGTGGAAGTGCTCTTAAAGATGCTCTTAGAAATCCAAGTCAACTTTTTTTTCAATGGGAATTGATTTATCATCTTTTCAAACAATAATACACTTAACATGTTCCATTTCAACGTGGCATTAGGAAAACCATGTATTACAATAGCTACCTACCCGTTGCTTTACTCGTTTTACGGGTAAATATAAAACGTGCACTAACACTGGTCAATGATCAGCAAATGCACAAAATATATGACTTGGCCATCCTGTCAATCTTATCAACAGTATCTTAGTCTCTGTTTTTTTTTTGGTCGAAATAGTATCTTAGTCTCTTGGTCAATGATCACGTGAAACTATCAAGTTAATCCCTATTTTCTAACTCGGCATTCAATGGACCTTTCTTTTTCTTTTTTCACATCATAGGTGCTTAGATTAATGTCATCTAAATCTTTTTTTTTTCTCTTTATGCCTAAAAAAGGTTGGGAAATAGCCTTCTATGCCACCCTTTTGCTAATTTTAACTAAAAATACCACCCCTTCCCAATTTTTTTACAACTAACACCTTTAAATATAAATTATTGCCCACTTATTGTACTCATATCATAGTTTCAGAAATTGGCTCTCTCTCTCACTGTCTTCGCTCTTTCTCTTCAGCCCATCTCTCTCCTGGTGTACCTCTCTCTCTTCGACGCAGTGCTCTTTCCCCGTCAACAGTGGCCGTTCATCCAAGCGGAAATCGATCGTTGACATCGACGAGGTACTGTTCATAACCATTTTCTTTGAAATGTGGGGTTTTTGTGAAGGTTTATGGTGTCTGGATTTCTAAGAAATTGGTTTGGTTGCTCAGAAATTGGGTTTGGGTTTATGGGTTTCTATGAACTGGGTAATAACGCACACCCACTGTCACTGGCTCGCAGCCACTGTTCACAGAAATCAAACTCTTCATTTTGTCACAGAACGTTTGGGCTTCGTTCACCTTTGGGAATCTTGGGTTAGCTTATGGATTTGATTTACTGTACTGTAGTTGATGAATTGCATAACTTTTGGAACCCAGTCTATTCTAAATATAAATAGAAATTTGGAGTTGGAGTAGTGTTTAAAACTGCTCATGCGTAAGGTATTATCAGGGCTTTTTTCTTTTTCCTCTTTTTTCACAAGTGTAGCAGTTAGAATAGATACATGTTGTTAGTTAATTTCTGGGGCCTTCTATGTTTTATGGGTTTCCCTATCTATGTTTGAAGGGTGGTGGTGGCTGTCTTCTTGGTCTTGATATACTTGTTTTACCTTGTCCCTAGATAACCACCAATTGAGGTATCGAAGTTACTAAGTTTGTATATTAGATGTTGGTGCCAAGCATTTTCTCTTCTATTGTGCTATTTTGTTCTTGCTGTGACTAGTGATTCAACTTCTTAACGTTTTTCTGCTGTTTCAAAAATAAAAAAGTCATTAACTTTCAAATTGGGCCCATAACCTAATAATCTTTTAGACTAATCTTTTTCCACTGAATTTTCATTTCAATTTTGTTTTTGAAATATCTGTTCCAAGTTAAATTTTTTGTACTGTTATTGTTCATATTTGAAGCATTTATCATTCATTTGTTACTTGAATGACAATCTTAACACTTTCACCATGTTGCTGGGAAGTTGCTTTCAAGCTCATAATGCATTTTTGAGAACAAGTTGTTTTCTAATAACTGTCTATAACTTAACTTCGCGCTCTCTCTCTCTCTCATTACCTTTTGGGTTATCATTGTTGGTATAGTGTGATGTTGAATCATTTTGGTTTGGACAACCCGTGTTTATGTTGACTGTAAATTATTGACAATAGATTTTAGTGCAATATCGATGTTAATATGAATGTTGGGGCTGAGGAATAACATTTTGAAGTCAGTGTATTTGTTATATTAGGAAATCTGCCTTGGTGTAAGTTGTTATTTACATCAAGTGACAACAGTGTTGAGCAACTTGGGATTGTTTTTGTCATCACATTTAAGTGAGCCTAACAAGTCCGTTTGATTAGTTCCACTGTTATTGCCTTCACGTTGTATTGTGTGACCAAACTATGGTTAACTTTTCTGCATAAGAAAAAGTTGGAAAATATGTGAAGATTTTTCTTGGGCAAATTTGTCGGTGTCTCCTATCCTATACACCCTTTTTGCAGTCACCTCTTCATTCTGACTTGCTGTATTGCCATATAGCATGATGCGAGCTAGTCTCATGCTATTACATTTTCAATTTCCTTTGTATGTTGTTCTGTATGACCTTGTTTAGAATACTAAACATATACTGATGATGACTCTTATGTCTTTGAAATGCAGCCGATATTAGGTGTGATCTGTGCACTCTTCCAAGCGGACTGTATTCCAGTAGGTAACTTGCTTTCTATGATGTGAATCTGGTGGAAGTTAGAGTTTGAGAATTTGGACCTTAAAAGCATCCTCTCTTTAAAGATGCCATTTTTCATAGTGATTCTTGAAAGCTAGTGCTTCAGGTTTGAGGCTTAAATGCAAATGTTTCCCTCGGTTATATTGATAAGTTTTCGTTTGGTCATTGATTTGATTTGACGACAGATACCTAGCTATTGTAACCCCCCTGTATATTGTTGGGCTTTACTGCTCTGCCGGCTTCCCTAGGCATAGAGATGGGGATTTTTTTTTTCCCGGCTAAGCTATGGTAGAGATAGATGAGTTAGCAGCGGAGATCTTGTCTTCCTAAATCTTAATTAGTCTGATGGGGATATGGATGTATGGTACTTACATGGTCTGATTGGTCTCACGAGAAATTGACTTGAGGGCAGTAAAGAATTGAGGGTCGCCATATTTTTAGTTTTATTCTAAACTCAGCACTTGAATAATGTGTTTACAACCCGACATGAATATCCCTTGAGTTTATTATTTTAATGGTCATTTTGACCTTAAAAATTAACGTGCATCATCAGATCTTCTCTTCACTATCTGAACTTTAACAAGAATAAAAGAAAAGGAAAAACTTACAAACGTAGAGGTGCTTTAGATTGAAGTGCCTCCACTTCTCAGGTTGGTGTGCTCACCGTGCTAACAAAGCATATGAGAATTGAAATACGCTAGTTGCTGGGAGTTGGAGTCTCTTGGCTTCAAAGAATTAAGGGAAATAGCCTTCTATGCCACCCTTTTGCTAATTTTAACTAAAAATACCACCCCTTCCCAATTTTTTTACAACTAACACCTTTAAATATAAAATTATTGCCCACTTATTGTACTCATATCATAGTTTCAGAAATTGGCTCTCTCTCTCACTGTTTTCAGTTTCATTTTATGATGCATATTTAGTGTGGGAATTTATTGTGGTTCATGTGCTGTAATTTGTGTTTAATTTTCACTTAATATCCTATAATAGGCCGTTGAATTGTGTATTGCTTGTTATTGTCCAGATTGCAACGGACTGAATTTTTCTTAATAATAATGCCGTGCAGGGAAACATGGTTTCGCCAATTAAGTTGATGATTGGAGAGGAAGAAAAGTTCCAAGGAAAAGCATCGGCGCTATCCCATACAAAGAGTGCAATAAGTACGATAAAAGAGAAATTCAGTGAGCAACAGCTACGAACCTTCGAACAGAGTTGTTTTGGGCATCTCCTACTCATCGAGGACCTGAAGTGGACGTCGCCAATTGTACACGGATTGTTGCTGAGGAAAGCTGATCCGAAGACTGTTTCCCAAGTGAACGGGATCAAATTCATTGTTGGCAATAAGGTGATCCAATTCACACCCCAGCAATTTTGCGTCGTCACAGGGCTAAGGTTTGGAAACCTTCCCTTTATTCCGATTCCCAATAATGACAACTGCTCATTGAAAAGGAAGTATTTTGGCAACAATAAAACAGTGAGCCTGTTGGAATTAGAAAAAGCCTTCCGCGACTGCGCTGATGCGGATGATGCATTGAAGCTCGGCTTTGTATACTTCGCTGTGTTTGTGCTGTTGGGCAGTGAAAAACATGTCCACATTGACATGCGATATTTGAAGTTGGCCGAAGACCTTGAAGATTTTGGTAAATATCCATGGGGTGCTGTGTCTTATGCGAAGACAAATGCGTCACTGCTGAGGGCACTGTGTGCAGATTACCAGCGAGTGAAAGGGCCGAAAAAAGCTTCGAAAACAAAAAATCTGAAAAGCAAGTAAAGACAACGGCAACCGGTAGACCAAGGGAGTACCACCTAAAGGGTTTTGCCTTTGCACTTCAGGTGAGCACATTTCGATTCCTGTTGAAGTTAAATATCATTTGTTTACAGTAATGGGTTCTAAAACAGTAATGGGGGAGAGAGAGAGAGAGAGAGAAATTGAGAGCTGCATTGGAGGAGCTAAAACATCATTTGTTCATGTTTATTTTCTGTAATTATTACTTATTTGGGGATTGATTGGTTTAGTTGTTGAAGGATGAAGACGAATAAAAGGAACTCTGTCCACTGTTATTGTTTTTTGACAGATTCTTTTGACTAATGATATTGTGTTTGTGTGTGTGTGTTGATAGATATTTTGTGTGAGAGAGAGAGAGAGAGCGAGAGAGCGAGAGAGAGAGAGAGAGAGAGAGAGAGAGCAAATTGGGTGGCTGTTTCTGGGCGGCTGTGGTATTTAAAAAAAGAATTCTACAAAGAAATATAATAATTTGCAAAGTTAAAAAATTGATGGGAAAGGGGAGAAACATTCAAGGGAGGGGGTCAGGGGTAGAAGGGAATTCAAGAATAGAAAATGGACAGAAGGTTTTATTTTATTTAATTAGTAATATTATTCTGTTTTTGCTGAATATTATATCATTAATATTGATGATGAGCCCCGTGTTTTTCTATCAACAACCCTAAGTTAACACTAATGACCTCATTATAGAAATAAGTTGTCAGAAAAACAAGTTTACATTTTCACCCCTTTATGTAAGTGGGGGATATTGGATATTAGGAAATAATCTGTTTTTCCTGATTTGTGTTGAATGCTCTTAGACTAATGACTAATGTGGCCCGAACCACTTTTAGCCTCTATGCATCTCTAGATGGCTGTATTTCGTTTAACTTTTGTCAATCATAGGGCAAGGTTTAGACTGCAATTAATACATGCTAATTATTTCTCTTTATTGTATTCTTGGCTTTTCATGCCCTATTTAAGGTTATAGCATGTGATCTCTAAGGCTTTTCTTCCTGAAACCAGATTTGGGCTTATGAGGTATTTCCAGCGTTGGCTGCACTACATTTGGTGGTGCACGAACATAATGCCTACATCCCTCGTATACTACATTGGAGGAGCAACACTTTGCCGCGTTTTTATGAGCTCATGAGCCAAGTCTTCGAAAACCGTGAGGTTAGTTCAGTTTGTAATGATAATCTTAGGCATATGAAAATATAATTTTATAAGTTTACTGATATTTCTATTGTCTGCGTAAATTGCAGGTTGATGTGCAACTTATCCGGCCATCTGTAATTGACAAGCAGCAGGCGTATTGGACTTGGGGTGACAGTGTTGACAACACTGAAGAACTTGTTGAGTTGGTTGGCGATGACGCTGAACAAAAAACCAGCACGTCTGCCTCTGTAGAAGAAAAAGATGAGGACATTGAAGAAACTGCTAGCCTTCCGTCGTCTTCTAAGGCAAGCATTACCTATTTTCCAATATTCCAATATATGTCATAATACAATAGGAAATGAACTGCTGTTTTGTTCCGATATATTTTGGAAATATTGTAACACTTGCATTATAACTGATTGCAGGGTAAAATGGCGTCCACTGAGTTACGCACTTTGAAGCGTGACTTTGAAAGGATGAAGGATGAATTCGCCAAAGTTGTCAGTTCAAATCGAGCGCTTCACAACAGAGTGCATGAGTTGGAAGAAATGGTACGGAGGGAGTCATCCAAAGTTGAAAGAAATAACAAGTGTGTGGAGGATTTGCGCAACACAGTGGCATCAATGGAGCATTATTTTAAGCTGGAGCTAGAGCAGCTGCGAAAACAAGATGGTGGGGTGAAAGAAGCTGGGGAAGGACATGAGGACCTCGATACTCCTCATATGAATGAAGGAGGTGACAATGAATTGTCGCCATTACATGACAATGTCACTCCGCCCACAAAATCGGCAGCAATGGCAACACAAGTCCCCAGTGATGGAGCCGAACCTTCCGCAGCCATGGTCACTCCAGTTCCTGACTTACAAGTGCATGAAGCAGCTGCGCATGCACAATCCGAGAAGCTGCCTACCCCGGAAGATGTGGGCCGGGTGTGACGAAATCTGCCAAAGACTTATGTTTTTGTTAGAAGATTGGAAAATAGCTGACAGAGTGCCATCGGGAGGTCCGATGAATCCTCCAAGTATACCTACAATTAGTATGGCTGCTGATGAAGAAGGTAGTTTGAGTGTTGAAAAAAAAGAAGTGGAAGGTAAAGGCTGTAGACAGAAGCGCCCGGCCCAGACATTATTAAGTCCATTTACTGATCCTTTGAGGAAGAAGAGGACAATGAGTGTGTCGGATGCGACTGCAACCCCGCCATGTTTTGATCCATCAAAACCGCTGCCCATTGAAGATGTGAAGGCAGTAATAGATTTTTGCACTGCCTGGAAAAACGATATCAGGTTCGCATTCTTGACCTTCGAAATCCAATTGTCATCCTATTAATATGCATGTGTATATTTGTCATCAACAAAGTCAGATTTATGAGATGCGTACAAACGTAACCGTTCCAAGTTTGCCTTTTCTAGTGTGCAGGTGCAGCTTGAAGCATTTTCAGTGGGCGCTGATTTTTTCTACAAACTCATCGATGAAACGGCATGGATTAGCTCAAGGGTAAGAATACACAAATCTCTACTTTATTATGATCATTCAATTGTTTTCTCACCTTTTTTAAGTGTACAATTGTCTGAAAATGTGCTGATATTATATGTCAACTGTCAGCACCTGGAAATGGCAACCTTTCTTATCCGGAAACGGCAACTCTCTCATCCGTTGCTATTTGGAACCGACTGGACAACGGCAGATTATGCCTTGCAGGTACACTTTTTACCATGTTACATTCACTGCTTCATTTGCTTTCCCTCGTCATTATGTCATATGGTTTCATTTCAATGTCTGCAGCAATTTCTAGAGCCGTTTAAAAGCGACTGGCAAGACACGTGGATCGAAGAAGGCAGCAGCTTCAAACACCAGTGACCTTCCAGCCAACAAGCTGAAGAATGTACATCACTTTTTTTTTTTTTTTTTTTTTTTTTTTTTTTTTTTTTTTTTTTTTTTTTTTTTTTTTTTTTTTTTTTTTTTTTTTTTTTTTTTTTTTTTTTTTTTTTTTTTTTTTTTTTTTTTTTTTTTTTTTTTTTTTTTTTTTTTTTTTTTTTTTTTTTTTTTTTTTTTTTTTTTTTTTTTTTTTTTTTTTTTTTTTTTTTTTTTTTTTTTTTTTTTTTTTTTTTTTTTTTTTTTTTTTTTTTTTTTTTTTTTTTTTTTTTTTTTTTTTTTTTTTTTTTTTTTTTTTTTTTTTTTTTTTTTTTTTTTTTTTTTTTTTTTTTTTTTTTTTTTTTTTTTTTTTTTTTTTTTTTTTTTTTTTTTTTTTTTTTTTTTTTTTTTTTTTTTTTTTTTTTTTTTACAACCAGTTGAACCACAAGAACAAGCTGTTGAGAATCCTGAGTTAGATAATCCACAAGAACTAGTACAACCGATGAGATTTGACAGACCAAGAATATCCACAGCAAATTCAGATGATGTGTACTTATAAGAAGCAGATTTTGACATTGGAGATGAAGCTAATCCAATAAGTTTTAAAGAAGCAATGGAGAATCAAATACAGACAAATGGAGGGAAGCGATGTTGAATGAACTTGAAAGCATGAAGAATAATCAAGTATGGGAATTAGTTGAATCTCACAAGAGCCAGAAATTGGTAGGCTCCAAATGGGTATTTAAAACAAAGAAGGATAAGGATGGAAGAATCGAAATATTTAAGGCTATATTGGTAGCCAAAGGATTCATCCAAAGGGAGGGAATTGACTACACTAAGACGTTTTCTTCAGTTTCCACCAAAGATTCTTTCTGCATCATTATGGCTTTGGTGGCGCATTATGACCTACTTTTGCATAAAATGGATGTCAAAACTACCTTCCTGAATGGTGACCTCAAAGAAGAAAATTTTATGCAGCAACTTGAATGGTTTGCAAAGAATGGAAAGAGTATATGGTTTGCAAACTGGGCAAGACAATTTATGGACTAAAGCAAGCAAGCAGGAGGTGGTATTTCAAATTTCACCAAACTGTTTCATCTTATGGTTTTGAAGAGAACATAGCCGATCAATGCATTTATCTGAAGAAGTGTGGGAGTCGATTTCATCTTATGGTTTTGAAGAGAACATAGCTGACCAGTGCATTTATCTGAAGAAGTATGGGAGCCAATTTTTTTTTTGGTGTTGTATGTTGACGACATACTTTTGGCTACAAATGACCACATTTACTGAAGGACACCAATGAGCTACTTTCAAATAATTTTGAGATGAAGGATTTGGGAGAAGCTGCTTTGTGTTGGGCATAGAAATTCAAAGAGACCGAGCTCGAGGCCTTCTAGGCCTATCACAGAAAATATACATTGAGAGGATACTTAAACGTTTTGACATGAGTATGTGTTCTGGATAGAAAGTTCCTTTAGCTAAAGAAGATTTAAAGAAGGAGCATTGCCCCAAGAGTAAAGAAGAAGAAGAAGAGATGAGGAACAAGTCATATGCTTATCTAGTTGGAAGCATTATGTATGCACAAGTGTGTACAAAGCCATACCTAGTCTTGTGCATTAGTAGGGCTCGTCAATGGGCCGGGCCAAGCTAGCCCAGCCCAAATTTAATGGGCTTGGGCTGGGCTGGGTTGGGTCTTTTTAGAAAATTCAAAGCCCAAGCCCGACCCATGGGCCGGGCTTGAGAAAGCCCAACCGACCAGGCCGGGCCGAAACGGGCCTACTTCATTTGAAAAATATCATAAACTTAATCATAAGGGCCAAATTTGAGATTAAACTCACTTAATTTCAATATTTTTATCAAACCAAATTCATAAAACACCAAATAAAGTCACACAACTTAATAAGATTTTCCACAAAAATAATAAAACCAAGTATTATTTTTGAGGTTATTACATAATTAGACCGTAATACGTTTTAAGAAATAATTTTAAAAAATAATAAGTATTAATATTATATTTTTTTTAAAGGATGGTATGAATAAATATGCAAATGTTTGGTGATGTGTTCAAGAAAAGCATGATTATATTTGGTGGTACGATTATGTTTCGTAATATGATTATATTTGATGATATGATACGTTGTTCATCTTATATATATATATATATATATATATATATGTATGTATGTATATATATATATATAATTCTTGTATTAATAATTGACACAAATTAATGTGCTAATCATCCAATTATAAACTAGGAATGAGTAAAGAAAAGTAAATGAAATGAAACAAATTATATATGTGATTTAAGTCATATAATCCTAAACCTAAACTCTTATTTATACATAATTATATATGTATGCAGGCCTAATGGGCCGGGCTTTTGTGGGCAGGCTAGGTCGGGCTTTCTTAAGCTTAACCGGGCAGAGCCTATGGGCCGGGCTGGGCTTCAGACACCCAAGCCCAAGCTCAGCCCAGCCCAAGGCTGGCCGGGCCATCTCAAAGCCCATAACGGGTCGGGCTGGGCTTTTTTTTGATAGGCCGGGCGAGCCCCCATCGGCCCATAAGCCCATGGGCCAAATGATGAGGCCTATGCATTAGCAAGATGGGAGATTTTAGTCAAATCCGGGAATGCAACATTGGATAGCTGGAAAGAAGATTATGAGGTACCTATAGAGAACAAAGGCTTATATGTTAATTTACAGATGCACAGAGAATTTAGAGCTTGTTGGTTATGCTGATGCGAATCTTGGAAAAGCAGAGGATGATTACATCTCTACTTTAGGTTTTATCTTCAAGATGGCAGGAGCAGCTGTTGCTTAGAAGAGTGCTAAACAAACTAGTGTTTTGAGTTCAACCATGTTTTCAGAATACATAGCTTGATATGAAGCCACTTCTCATGCAGTATGGCTAAGGAATTTTATTAAAGACATTAAGGTGGTGGACTCGATTTCTGGACCAATACAGATATATAATGACAACACTGCAGCTGTTTTTCACTGCATGAACAACAAGATGTCGTCTAGACTTCAGCATATTGACAGAAAGTATTTAATAGTGAGGGAGAAAGTAGCAGACAAACTAGTCAAGTTTGATCACATCAGAACTCAAGATATGATTGCAGATCCGTTCACAAAGTTTTTGCCTTCAAAGCTTTTCTGAGACATGTTGAGAGCGTGAGACTATTTCCTAGTTTTGATGTTGCAATTTAGTGGGAGTCTTGTTCCCATTATGATATTTTACTAGTTTGTTTGTTTTGTTTATTTTGTTGTTTTCTGGATTGAGGGATTTGCATTTAAGAATGTTGATTTGGTTGACAATTTTATTTATTATTGAATAAATTCTACAATTTTGACTATTTAGCTGTTTAAAACTATTTAGCTGTGGTGCACGATTGTTTTTATATATGCTCATATATATTTAATTTTGCAAAAATAATGCATCCAACTAACTCAACCAAAAAAGTTGCATCCAATTAATGATGTTCTTAGAATATTGATTGCATCCAATTAATGTTGTTCTTAAAATAATGCATCCAACTAACTCAACCAAAAAGTTGCATCCAATTAATGATGTTCTTAGAATATTGATTGCATCCAATTAATGTTGTTCTTAAAATAATGCATCCAACTAACTCAACCAAAAAAGTTGCATCCAATTAATGATGTTCTCAGAATATTGATTGCATCCAATTAATGATGTTCTTAAAATAATGCATCCAACTAACTCAACCAAAAAAGTTGCATACAATCAATATTCTAAGAATATACTTGCTGAAGAATATATACTTGCTATTTTAATGATAAATAAAATTGTAGAATTTATTCAATAATAATGATGTTCTTAGAATGTTGATATTTTAATGATGTTTCGTTTTATGCATAGTTTAAACTTTTAATTAATACAACTATTTTTTTTAATAGAGATGATAACCAATCATACTGAATTAAAAAATAACTATAGTATTTATGACTTCCTAACTTAGGGAATATGATTGGAGTTCAAATTTTATAGAGTTCCTAAAATAACTTTTGTGTGTTTTTAGCTAAATTTTAACTAAATAATAGGGAGCATGACCTTTGCCTACATAATTACTGACTAATTTCTTGTGATCGAGTATTTATTATTTCAGTATGTGGTTGTGAAAGTAGCTGGGATATTGAATGTTGGTATTGACATTGGACAAGCTGTTTTGAACAGTGGTTGCAACATTATGTGATTGACAGACAACATAGTTGTTTTTATCTTTCAACAAAAACAATAAGTTTCAAAAAACAAACCAAAATTTTAATTTGACCCTATTGTCATTATGGTGGTTTGCTGCTAGCTAGGTCACATTTGCATATGACTCTGTTTTTAAAGAAATTTTACTGGTCATGTACGTAATAAATTTTCAACGTTTCACTAAAACACCCAAAATGGGGCCTTAAATTATAAAAAAACCCAAGCACTATTTAAACATATAAACACACCCAAAACCCATCATTACACACACTCAAAATCCATTTATAAACACACCCAAAAAGTTGACTTTGGGGTTGATTTTGGGTGTGTTTCTATGTTTAAATAGTGCTTGGGTTTTTCTATAATACATGTCTAGGATTGGGTTTATTTATAAATTTGTATCATTTTTATTCTACTTTTTGCAATTTGATCTTTTTTATTTTATTTTTGTCATTCGATAGGGAGAAAAATGGGGGAGTATTATATTGGGTTGCCTCAAGATTGTCTTTTACGTGAATCGAACTCAGGTGCACAATGCAACATGATAATGAAGTAAGTCATTTAATATATATAAATTGAAATTTAGATACATACTTGAATTTGAATTCAGATTTAAATATGACCATTTGCTTTTGAGTGACATTTATCAATTTGTTTGGTCGATTTTTTGTGTTGAAATCCTTGAAATTGAAAAAAAAAATGTCGAAGGATTAAAAAAGAGAGCCAGGAGAGATATTGGTGATGATTATTACTTACAGAAAATAACGTGTTTGTCTTTTTAATTATTATGATTATTAATTGTTGTCACATCCCGGGATCGGCTCCGCCGTAGCACGATATTTTCCGCTTTGGGCCCCCGTCTCTGCCCTCACGGTTTTGTTTTTGGAAACTCACGAGCAACTTCCCAGTGGGTCACCCATTCTAGGATTGGCTTAACTTCGGAGTTCTCATGACTCCGAAGCCAGTGAGCTCCCAAAAGGCCTCGTGTTAGATCGAGGTGGGTATGTATATATAAGGCACATCATCCCTTTTCCGTTGGTCGATGTGGAATGTTACAATTGTTGTTACCAAAAAACAACCAAAAAGAACTAAAACTATGATCTACACAAGCGGATTTTGAAGTTGCGCCCTGAATGGAAATTGAGGCCCTGCAAACTAACACAATAAAATGTCTTTGTGTCAAAAATTTGCTCGCTCAGTATATATATATATATATATATATATAACATTTATTAATATATACATATATTATACACATAAAAAATTTCGAGGGCCCTAAAAAATCAGAGGCCCTGTGCTGTGGCACCACTTGCACACCCTCAGGGCCACCCTTGATGGCACTATATATATATTCTTCAACAAGTATATTCTAATTGCCCCAATAATATCTATATTCCTATGTGCAGACATTGTTTGTCACGTGCGTATGTCCCCATCATTGAAAATGTATAGGGCTCACCTCAATTAAAAATGTAGTTAGTAAAGTGGTACACGATTGTTTTTATATATGCTCAGATATTTAATTGTGCAAAAATAATGCATCTAACTAACTCAACCAAAAAAGTCTCATCCAATTAATGATGTTCTTGGAATATTTATACAAAATAAATTAGGTGTTAAAAAATATTTAATATATGAATATGATTTATTACGACAAAGACTCATCGTCACAATCATGGTGATTATTCAAAGGTGTAACATCCCTGATACAATTTAATTGATTTAATCAAATTTAATTCTTTTGTGAAATTTCAATTTTGCCCTTGGGAGTAGTGGTACTTTGGTCACTTTAAGAAAAAAAACATTTATTGTATGGCATTACGTAATGGTGTAAGTTTGTGTTATCTTATGTGAGACCCCAGTTTAAGGTTAGCACAATGCCCTCAAAATCTCAAGACCGGCCCTGTTGGAGAACCAGATAGACATTCAGGTGGAACAAAAACCCATCAAAATGCATCACAAATCACTGCTGTCGACTTGTTATAAGGTAAGGGTATAAAAATAAGGGTGCATTTTTGCTCACCACCTTAACCCTAGGTGTACCCTCACCACCCCTGCCAAAAATTGACACATATCCATAGGTTTAACAATAGTTAATTCTTTATTTTTATTTATTTGATAACATTATTATGAGAGAGAAACAATACTTCAATAAGATTTTTCCTGATTTACCCTTATTAACCTAGCAAACTTTCCACTTTTCCAAATTAATTAACAACTACCCAAATAATAATCTATGCTGCTCTTCAATTGCAAGCTTCCTCCATTTGTTAAGTGAAAGATAGGTAATAATCTATGCTGCTTTTTTTTTCTTCTTTTATTTAGTACCTTGTATTGCTTGATTATTTTTTATACTTGGTGATTGCTCTGCGTTATTTAGTTTTTTTAGTCCATGATGTTGGTATGTCTGGTGGACCAAGACTAGCACATAAAGGAATGATAGAATGAACCGTACTGCAGAGCCAGAGGAATGAGACAATGAAGGGTATTATTGCAGAGCTTGGTTCCTTCATCGTTTTTGGAATTTCTGCAACTCCAATATATTTTGCTCCTATGGAGTAAGCTTTATTCAGAATAATAAAACCAGAATTAATTAGTCCAGAGCTTGCAACGTAGAGGTGTCAAACGGGCCGTGCCGGGCCGGCCCATCCTATTAAACTCGTGCTTTTAACGTTTTCGTGTCGGGCAGGGCCATTTAATTTATCGGGCCATGCCGTGCCGGCCCATTCAGTAAAATCATTGATCCCGGCCCGGCCCAAAGCCCATGTCCATATTGAAACGGGCCGGGCCGGGCTCGTGCCGTGCTCGTGCTCGTGCCATACTCGGGCCCAAGAACCAATTCATTTAATTTGAATTTTTTTCACTTGATTTTTTTTTCCACTAGATAATTCAAATTAAAAATATAATTAGAGGCAATAAATGATGAACTATTTGAAAACATTAATCAATCAAACATCCAAACAATATGAAATGGCGAAGGGCAAAAAGTGTCCAACTCCACAAAGTCCACTTCAACTTTTCATATTTAAACAACTTATTATTTTATATGTGAAAAAATGTCTTACTTTGATTATAAGAGAAGCGTATACGTCATATGTACTGATTAGATATCAAGTCCAATGTTGTTTAATTAATTTGTAGTTGATATGTTTAATTAATTAAGGACCCAAGTAATTTCCCTAAAATGAATATTTATGATTAAATATATATATATATATATATATAAACAATGATATTAGATGTCAAATTATTGCATTTTGACTTTTGAGAAAGAAAAAAATGTTAAGTGGGTCGTGCTTGGGCTCGTGCCGTGCTTGAAGCATGCTCGGGCCAAGCCCGGCCCATGTCGGGCCATGGGCTAGCCCGGTCCATTGGACCTCATTTTTTGATCCCGACCCAGCCCAAGTTTTCATGCCTTGCCCAGCACGGCCCATTAATATTCGTGCTCGTGCCGTGCCGTGCCTCATTTAAACGGGCTGGGCTCGTGCCGTGCTGGGCCGGCCCGTCCCGTTTGACACCTCTATTGCAACGTTAAAATTAATTGGTTGGAAACTTGCAACATCATAATTAACTCATCAGTTGAAGAAAGAAAACAGGTTCAAGGATATTGAGAAATTGCAACGTAATATATATTGAAGAGCAGTGTAACTTTTGGGCATGTATAAAAGGAGTTAATTAAAGTCAATTGAGATTCAAAGTATCTGGGTGTGTTCTTCAAAGTATTGAAGCATGTGAATTGATATTCATATTAAAGAACGGGACATAAAAGCCAATTGCCAATTATTTATTTGGGTAGTTGTTAATTAATTTAGAAAAGTGGAAAGTTTGCTAGGTGAATAAGGGTAAATCAGGAAAAATCTTATTAAAGTATTGTTTCTCTCTCATAATAATGTTATCAAATAAATAAAAAATAAAGAATTAACTATAGTTAACCCATGGACATGTGTCAACTTTTGACAAGAGTGGTGAGGGGACACCTAAGGTTAAGGTGGTGAGCAAAAATGCACCCTAAAAATAATTGATATTCATCATGCTTTCTCTTCTTCATTCCCCAAATGGAAATATCTCAAGCAAGCAACCAACCATCCCACCATGAATTCAAGGGCCAGAGACCATAATGGCAGCATGTGTGGTGTGGGGCATCTGTCGGAGTAACTTTAAGTGTGATTGGCAAGACAATGCTGCATTTCTGTGCCTATTCTCAGAACTGAAACGAGATTAATGTTTGAATAAATACAAATGAATGGTGATTGATGATGATCTTCACTAACTTAAGTCATTCCTGTATCACTAAATCAAATTAAAACAAAGGTTAAGAAATAATATAGCCCACATACCTACTTGAACCATAAATTACATGCAAATATCAGTGAAGGCAGCACTTCTCAACCTTTACACAATGGAGGCTTCTTCTATGATAATTGCAACATGGGGCATCTGTACATAGGTACTAATTAACTTGCCTACTTTTCACACTTTGAGTAATGATAGAAATATCATAGCCGAGCCGACGACATACCTAGCTACTTCTTCAACTATAATTACCTGCAATATCCTCAACCTTCATACACGACAATGTCAATGGAGGAGGCTGCTTCATTTTCTTTGGCTGTTTTAAGTTTTTCAACCCTTGCACTGCTTGTTGCTCTGGTCCTTCTCTCCAAAATTCTCTTTCCCCTACCCAAGAAGCTAAAACTTCCACCAGGTCCCAAACCATGGCCTATAAGAGCAACTCCACCCATTTGTCCTTAGCCATGGCAAGGGGGGAGCTAGGGCAGCCACTATTCACGTGAATAGTAGTTGACCTTGCAAATAGTATTTTGTGTTTCCACCCGTTGCCCTTGCTAAGGGCAGTTACTATTCATTTTTTGGTTTTATTCACAAATTTTTTTACCTCAATAATTAATTTGGATAATATTTTCGGAGAAGATTTCCGGGTTCCTACGTGTCAAGACTATTCATAATGGGATAAAATTTCCGAATAAGATTTTTGGGTTCAAATTTCGGATGAATTTCAAAATTCAAATTTCAGATAAATTTGGATTCAAATTTCGGATGAGAGGGAATGAAGATGATGATGGAGCATAGATGCTTTTGTTATGTTTTATTTACTTATGGTTTGGTTGTGTTGTTTTTTATTGCTTATGGTTTGGTTGTGTTGTTTTTTTATTTATTATTGTGCCTTGTTTGTAGTTTTTTTTTAATTTTAATTATGTTTTGTTTGATGTATGGAATATGTTGAATAAAATAGTCTTTTATTGAATGCTTTGTTTATTAAATAATGAAATCCAATACAAGTCATTAAGAATTACTACTACTAAATAGAAGAAGCCATAAAAATAAGAAATAAAAATACAAGGTGAAAGAGATGAAATGTTGAGTGGAGAGTGAATAAAATGTTGAGTAATTGTAGAAGTAGAATAAAATGTATGAGAATTGGTGTTGAAAGTGAAGGGTATTTATAGGTATTTATAGGAAAAAAAAATCTGAATTTAAAGTATTTTTTTAAAAAAAAATTTGATTTTTTTTCATTTATTGCTGGAAAAAGTCAGCCGTTGGATGAAGGCTGTGGAAGCAAATCGGAGCGCTGGGGGCGTGCCACGTGGCTTCCAGCCGTTGGACCTGCGTCGCGTTGACGTCAGCACACACTGGTTCAAATTTTTTTACCGTTGGCGCGTGCATTGCACGCACCAACGGTAAAAAAAATTGATTACCGCGTGCTCGACGTCAGCCTGACGTCGAGTTGACGTCACCCCGTCCCACAACCCCCCCCCGCGGGCCTGGGCTGTCCGCTGGAACGCAATTTTTTTTCTTTTTTCCCCCAGCCTCGGGCTGGGCTCACCACTGGAGTAGCTCTAATTGGCAACCTCAACCTCGTTGGTCCTCTGCCTCATCAATCCGCTCACAAGTGGTCCCAAACTTATGGGGCATCCGTACATAGGTACTAATTAACTTTGCCTACTTTTCAAAATTTGAGTAATGATAGAAATATCATAGCCGACCCGACGACATACCTAGATACTTCTTCAACTATAAATTACCTGCAATATCCTCAACCTTCATAAACGACAATGTCAATGGAGGAGGCTTCTTCTTTTTCTTTGGCTGTTTTAAGTTTCTCAACCCTTGCATTGCTTGTTGCTCTGGCCCTTCTCTCCAAAATTCTCTTTCCCCTACCCAAGAAGCTAAAACTTCCACCAGGTCCCAAACCATGGCCTATAATTGGCAACCTCAACCTCGTTGGTCCTCTGCCTCATCAATCCGCTCACAAGTGGTCCAAATTTATGGACCAATAATGCAGATTAAGCTTGGCTCCCGCCCAGTTGTAGTTGCCTCATCTCCAGAAATGGCAAAGCAATTTTTAAAGACGCATGATCGCATCTTTGCCTCTAGGCCTCAAACTGCAGCAGGCAAGTACCTCAATTATGGCTACCAAGTGTCACTCAGCACCTTATGGTCCATATTGGCGTCAAGGCCGCAAAATTTTAACCTCTGAGCTCTTTAGCCCAAAAAGTCTAGAGTCTTTTCGATACATCCGGGTTGAGGAAAATCGCACTTTTATTTTGCGACTCTATGCCATGTCAGGGAAGGCAGTTGTGCTCAAACAGCATCTGTCACGCCTAACTCTTAGTGTTCTGTGCAGAGTTGTGTTGGGAAAGGACCATTTTAGCTTGACCAAATCCAAGAGTTCCACAATATCACTCAAAGAATCTCAGGACATGACTGATGAGTTGTACTTGCTTGCTGGGGGTAGCCAATATAGGGGATTGGATACCGTGGCTAGATGTTTTTGACTTGCAAGGTTATGTAAAGCGAATGAAGGCCTTACAGAAAAAGTTGGACCAGTTTTATGAGTTCGTGCTCAATGAACACAAGGCCAGGAAGGAAGGAGTGGAGGAGTTTGTGGCAAAGGACATGGTGGATTTACTATTGCAGCAGGTTGATGATCCTAACGATCTTGAAGTTAAGCTCACCTATGACACTGTCAAGGCATTCACTCAGGACTTAGTAATTGGAGGCTCTGATACCTCTGCTACCACTTTGGAATGGGCAATGTCTGAACTCATAAAACAACCAAACCTCATCGAAAAGGCCACCGAAGAGCTCGATAGAGTGATTGGAAGAGAGAGATGGGTAGAAGAGGAAGACCTCGAAAACCTTCCTTATATAGATGCTATTATGAAAGAGGCAATGAGGAAGCACCCTGTAATTGTATTCCTACCACATTTAGCTCTTGAGGATTGCAATGTGGCAGGTTATGATGTTTGTAAAGGAACTCTAGTGCTTGTGAACATATGGAGCATGGGGAGAGATTCCACACTGTGGGATGCACCAGACGAGTTTAGGCCTGAGAGGTTCTTAGGGAAGGCAATTGATGTGAAGGGACAGAGTTTTGAGTTCTTGCCATTTGGTTCAGGAAGGAGGATGTGCCCTGGTTATGGTCATGCACTGAAAATGGTAGGGTCTTGTTTGGCTAACATGTTACATGGGTTCACCTGGAAACTGCCTGAAAATGTGAAAACAGAAGATTTGGGCATGGAGGAAACTTATGGATTGCTCACACATCGGAAGTTCCCACTTGTTGTGGTCACAGAACCTCGGCTGCCAATTCGTCTTTACTATTATATGTGAACTTGATAATGTGCCAGCCTTAAGTTTCTTTTTTGTTCCATCAAGTAGGGAGGCTTAGTTTTAACAAAAATATAGAACTAGGACTTCTCAATAAGATTGTAATTCGTTTTTATCAATAAGGGACTGATATATAAAGAAATTTAAGGGAAAAACAAATGTAACATGGAACAGAGGTCGCATTACTTGTGATCGTCGTAAGCTTCAATGGCATCAAATCATCCGATTCACCATTTAACCAATTTGCATAAATTGGCCCTAGCAGTTATGTCCTTGTCCATTTTCATAATTGTACCATTGTGTAGGGCTCCATAATGAGCTGTGGTTTGTTTAATTTGTTCAGGCATCGTACTGTGACTGTCAAGTGTCCATGGCTCCACTCCAGCTATGTGGATTTAATCGTGAATGACCAGAAAATATGCAAGATTGGCATGAAGGGGTAATTTGCAACATGAAACACACTTGGCAGGAGATAAATAATTAAAAGGGATATATATAACTGTCACACCAGATCTGGCATTGGCAATCATCTTAGACTGTAAAACGAGCATTAATGGCCGGAAGCTGGTTGATTAGTCCAACAGCCCACAAACACCACACATGTCAATAAGTCTCCCTAATCTCGAAACATACAGTTCATATATCCGGATGAGATTAATCTAACTCATTCTAGGAGAAGAGGCATAATGCAGAGACAGCGCAATCAACAAAGCAGTGCAAGTTACCATCACAAACATTCATACACAGTTTTATTGAGTAGGTAGGACTAGTCCTATTTTTATAGAGAAGGTTCATAATACATATCCGGACACTCACTAAAAAAAAAAAAAGAGGTAGGTAAAAAAAAAAAAAAAAAAAAAAAAAAAAAAAGAAGAAACCAACAGAATCCATCAATATCACTAGTAAAGATGGATTGGTAGCCGAGGTTCAACTACGGCAACAAGTGGGAACTTCCGAGGTGTTAACAATCCATAAACTTCCTCCATGCCCAAATCTTCTTTTTTCACGTTCTCAGACAATTTCCAATTGAACCCATGTAACATGTTGTCCAAGCAAGACCTTATCACTTTCAGTCCAAGACTATAACCAGGGCACATCCTCCTTCCTGAGCCAAATGGCAAGAACTCAAAACTCTGTCCCTTCACATCAATTGCCTTCCCTAAGAACCTCTCAGGCCTAAACTCATCTGGTGCATCCCACAGCGTGGGATCTCTCCCCATGCTCCACGTGTTCACAATGAAAGTACATGTAGATAAAACACATACTTAAATAGTTAAATATCTAATCAAAATCCAGAAAATGTCGTCAATTGGAAAATCCCTACAGTGGAATCACTAATAATATCATTATGTTGTTTAATTAGTGTCTACACTTGGGTTAAATTAGTGGAGATCAATATCAGTTTGATAAAATACCTACTCTTAGATCCTCCCAAAATCTTTGCAGGCATTCGTGTTCCTCTTATGTGCTGACACTTCATCCATTTCTACTTTGGGGTTCTGGTGTGTATATTTTATGCACACATTAATCTCGTTATAAATGGGTTTTCCATGGCTTAAGTTATGTAATTTTAACTTTAATGTGTACACTAATATTTAGATAATCTTTGGACCAAAAAAATATTGGACAATCAAGCCTTTTGGGCTTTGGGCTAGTTGTTTATTTGTTTAATAGTAGGTTAAGGGCCAGGATTAAACAAAATTAAACCTTCAATGCTAACAAGAAAAGAAAAATAAAATTATGTTTGTGGAATTTAATCTGAAAATATTTTCTAAGTATGACGATACTAAATAAAACATTTCTTCGGAGAAGAATACAAAATAAAACATTTCTTTGAGAGACAATAAAAGAACTAGATGAGCTACTCCTCAACATCGTAGCTAAGATGAGCATCTGAACAGCTTCCAACAGTGTCTTGGTATAACCAAAAACAAAAAAAACAATAAGACTTGATAGAATTTTAGTGTGCATGATTAGAAAGTGCTCGCCAAATGTATTTGCTCGAGCTCTCTGATGAAGGGTAGCAAGGCCTGTAATTACATAACAGCTTGTTTGAAAAATAAATAAAAAGGCATCTAAAAGCAGATACATGTTGCTATTTGAATTTTGCTAATATATTTGTTTCTGGTTTATTTGCCTTCTTGCTTTGAATGTTTTATTTGAGTTAAATACAAAAAATATATTTAAACAGTATAGCCGCGCGGCTATACGTCTTAAATTAAAAATATAGTTAAAGAATATAGCGGCACGGCTATAATCCTTAAATAAAAACATATATTTAAAGTGTATAGCCGCACGGCTGTACCTCTTAAATAAGAATATATATATACCTCTTACATAACAATCCAATATGAGATTTACATGTGTGGCTGTTGGGCACTCAATGAGCCTCTTTTTTTGCTTGCATGAGGTTAAGGTTTTGTTTGCTTACATGAACCCTTTATTTATTTATTTTTGGATCAAATTTTGCACGAGATTATTATGTGAATAAAACACAAATGGACGGTGATGGAGTTTTGGGAGGTTAGGGACCACACATCACATAAAGGTTTTGGGAGGATAATATATATATATATATATATATATATATATATATATATATTAATACTGATGACGATCTCTTCAATAACTCAAATAAATCTTGTCTCACTAAAGTAAACAAAAAAAGTTTAGAAATATCATAGCCCCCACCACATGCCTCCTCCTCTCCTCCAACTACAAATTACAAGCAATATCAAATCAACACTGCACTACTCAACTTTCACACAATGGAGGCTTCTTCTTCCCTGGTTGTTTTAGCCCTTGCATTGCTAGCCGCTCTGGCCCTTCTCTCCAAAATTCTATTTGCCAAACGCCTAAAACTTCCACCAGGTCCAAAACCATGGCCTATAATTGGCAACCTCAATCTCCTTGGTCCTCTGCCTCATCAATCCCTACACAAATTGTCCCAAACTTATGGACCAATAATGCAGCTTAAGTTTGGCTCCTACCCAGTTGTTGTTGCCTCATCTCCAGAAATGACAAAACAATTTTTAAAGACACATGATCACATCTTTGCCTCTAGGCCTCAAACTGCTGCAGGCAAGTACCTCACTTATGACTACCTCAATGTCACCTGGGCACCTTATGGTCCATATTGGCGTCAAGGCCGCAAAATTTTTCTCACGGAGCTGTTTAGCTACAAAAGACTAGAGTCTTTTCGATACATTCGGGTTGAGGAAAATCGTGCTTTTGCTTCGCGACTCTATGCCTTGTCGGGGAAGGCAGTTGTGCTCAAAGAGCATCTGTCACGCCTAAATCTTAGCATTATGAGCAGAATTGTGTTGGGGAAGGAGTATTTTTGCTTGACCGACTTCGAGAGTTCGATAATGTCACTCAAAGAATTTGAGGACATGTTAGATGAGTTGTTCTTGCTTAGTGGGGTATCCAATATAGGGGATTGGATACCATGGCTTGATTTTTTGGACTTGCAAGGTTATGTAAAGCGAATGAAGGCCGTAAAGAAAAAAATGGACCGGTTTTATGAGTTTGTGCTCCATGAACACAAGGCCAGGAAGGAAGGAGTGAAGGAGTTTGTGGCAAAGGACATGGTGGATTTACTACTGCAGCTGGTTGATGATCCTAAGGATCTTGAAGTTAAGCTCACCTATGACAGTATCAAGGCATTCGCTCAGGTATATGCTTCCAAAATCATTCCATTATTAAATTTCCTAAGATTACTGCAATGTTCTTTTGCCATACTTTGAATTTGGACCGCACATTATGCAGTCTGGCAAGAGAACATTTCTATATAAAAACTTATGTAGAAAAACACAGCATAAAGCTTTACACAAAATTGTTCACGTGGCTTATTAATTTTGTTCATCCAAATTAAAACCAGGACTTGATAGCTGGAGGCACTGATACCTCTGCTTCCCTTTTGGAATGGGCAATGTCTGAGCTCATAAAACAGCCAAACCTGATCGAAAAGGCGACAGAAGAGCTTGACAGAGTGATTGGGAAGGAGAAATGGGTAGAAGAGAAAGACCTCGAAAACCTTCCTTATATGGATGCAATTATGAAAGAGACCATGAGGAAGCACCCTGTGGTGGTAATGCTACCACCACATCTAGCTCTTGAAGATTGCAATGTGGCAGGTTATGATGTTCGTAAAGGGACTCTAGTGTTTGTGAACCCATGGAGCATGGGAAGAGACCCCACACTGTGGGATGCACCAGATGAGTTTAGGCCTGAGAGGTTCTTAGGGAAGACAATTGATGTGAAGGGACAGAGTTTTGAGTTATTGCCATTTGGTTCAGGAAGGAGGATGTGCCCTGGTTATAGTCTCGGACTGAAAATGATAGGGTCTTGTTTGGCTAACATGTTACATGGGTTTAACTGGAAACTGCCTGAAAATGTGAAAGTTGAAGATTTGGGCATGGAGGAGGTTTATGGATTGGTCACACCTCGGAAGTTCCCACTTGTTGCAGTCACAGAACCTCGGCTGCCATTACATCTTATTAACTTAACTATATGTGAGGGGTTTGTAGCTCAATTGATTAAAAGCAGTTACCCCTGCATACTGCACTCAAAGTCCTATGTTCAAATCCCTCCTCATCAACATATCGCCGGTATCAACAATAGAAAATACAAAATAAAAAAACTCTGTGTAAATCGTGCCAGCTTTAAATTTCTTTTTAGTTCCATCTATGTACTCTGCCAATATATATTTTGATCAAGTAGGGAGGCTTAGTTTTCACAAAAAAATAACTTCTACTCAATATGTTGTAATTCGTTTTTATCAAAGAGAGACTGAAATCTGAATTGGGACGTAAGTGTGGCACATGTGACAAGTTCCATGATGTCTTCCACCCACCCATCTAGCCAATCATCCTGTGGAGCTCCACAATGTGCTGTAATTTATTTCATTTGTTCAGCCATTCTTCTGTGCTCATTGCTCCACTCGCTGTTAAGTCTCCATGGCTCCGGCTATGTGGCGTTAACCGTGAATCATCCGAAAATAT